TATATGTAAAGAGTAAATTTTATAATAACAAAATAAAATTATTTACCAATTGCTATATTTACATCATCATAACTCAATGATTGTTTATGCATGCCAAAATTATTAGAAGTTGTACGCGCTGATGCTAATTGATAATTAGAAAGACTGTATATAATAAAAAATATAACAAAAATAATATTTTTTCTTAATGTAAACATGACTGTGCTTTATGATTTCTTAATTTTTTTTTTCACTTTTTTTCTTATACCAAAATACAATCACTTCTGAATAAATAAACGCAATATTGACAGAGTTTATATACTAAATTCTTATATCCTAAACATTTGTTTAAACGTGTGTGATAGTTTATCTTAATAAAATAATAGAAAAATATATTGTTATTAAACAAACAGAGAAATAGAATATATTTGAAATTATTAAAACAAATTTGTCATATTTGTAATAAATAAATTATAAAAATGTAAATGATAAATAAATAAGTAGACATTTTAGTCTATAAATTTAAATTAGTTGAAAATTTTAACTGATATTTTAAATTAGTGGTGTACATTTTGATATATGAATTAGTTAAATAGCAATAAATTATAACGAAACAAAATTTGTTTACTAATCGATTGATAAAATTTAATTTAATTCATATAACAAAAAATCAATCACTATATATCTCAATTAATAAAAATGTTTAATATTTCGACATATATAAGTGATCTGTTATTTGTTTTCTATAATTGGGATTTAGTCTAGTCGAATTTTGCAACATTTTGGAAAATTGTAAATAAGAATAATAATTTACATATTTAAAAAAAATTTTATTACATAGGGTAACGGGTACAGGGACCGTCACCCTGAGGATACTTTCAACTTTAAATGACAATTTTATTCGAAATTTATTAAAGATTTAGTTATATGTAAAATAAATTTCAAAAAAAAGATTTGGGATTAAATTTGCAGTACATGAGTTTAAAATTAAAAAACATTTTGATAAGAGTTGATACTATTAATTTAAAAATATATAGTATGAAAATAGTGAACAACACCCTTGAATAAAATAAAAAAATATTTAAACTAGGGGAATAGTGTCAGGGTTGGACACAGTTTTGGTTTTTTGTTTATAAATATTTTGTTTAGATAAATTCAGTCAATTGTGGTATATGGGTGGAAAGATCTACAAAAGAGGAACACTTTTGCTGTGGACCGTAAATTGATTGGTCCAAAATTAAAAAAGTTATAAACATTTAAAAAAAAAATCTAGTCAGGGTTGGACTTTTCAGTCAGGGTTGGACACTTTTTGAAAATCGAAACGCATTATTGGTAAAAACGTAAAATAACATTTGTAATGTTTTTTATTCTTATTTTTTCATGTTTATCTTTACTTATTGTTTACAAATTGTAAAGCTTCATGGGTTTAAAAAAGGTATGAACTCAAATTACAAAAAATAACGCTTTATTGTTCCAAATAACTCAATGAAATGATGAACAAAATTTATACAATTTAAGTATTATTTTTCTAATATCTTTGGCACAATTTTGCACTGAAATATCAATAAAATAAAATTTATTTATAAATTGTGTCAAATTCATAATTAATATGGGTGTCCAACCCTAACTGTATAAAGTGTCCAACCCTAACTAGAAGCATCATTTTCGAATTGTGCTAACCATAACCAGACATATGTCGCGATTCGATTTTTCACTTTTTTTCTTCTTAAATTATGTACCCCACAATACATTCAATAAGCTTACTTTGCCGAATTCTTGCTTTTTCTACACATTTTTTAGGTTTATTCACAAGTCAAACAAAACTTTTTTTGTCTCTTCGATTGCACCGAAGTCACAGGAGACGCTACTTTTGATTCTCCAAAAATGTAATGCCACAAAAAGTTAGGCTGCAGTCCCATGGCAGCGTTTTGCGTTGCGTTTTGTCACTAGACCCTGAGTGTAAACATAGCAAACATATATCTGCATCTCTTTTACACTCATGGTCTAGTGACAAAACGCAACGCAAAACGCTGCCATGGAACTGCAGCCTTAGGTTACAGTACTAGAAGATTCGTCACGTACGCACACAGGTGGCGCTAGTGTTCTTATTTAAAAAAAGCCAAGTGTCCAACCCTGACAAGTGTCCAACCCTGACACTATTCCCCTACTATTTACGCAATATATGATATTTATTATTATTATCACAAATTTTACTATTCAGATTTAATGTACAAAAAAAGTTGCTTTAAAAATATAATTATTTAACAGTTTCTTTGTATTTATAAAATTTGTAATTAATAAAGCAAATTTTTTGAGGTTAGTTTTCTAGAAAGTAAAATATTGAGGAAAATGTGTCAGATTCTAAATATTGCATATTAATTAATTTGCCAGTGATATTTAATTCAATATTATTATTTTTATGGTTATCGTTTTTAATATTTTTTTACTTTTGACGAACACAGTTTTGCTAATGATAAAACGATACAATTGCAGACTATAAATAAGTAGCAGAATTATTATAAATTAAATAGGTTTATCAAATTAACAATATGTAATTAAGTATTTTTCAGGTAGAAATGCAATTAAATTTAATTCATCTCTGATGATTAAAGTGATTCTTGATTTGTAACATGAATCATCACTACATGGCTAAGGGTACGGCCACAGTTCAGATATCTAAGTAGGGTCGTCATGGTAACGTATAAGAGTGAGAGAAATAAAGAATGGTCTTATTTCACTCACTCTTATACGTTATCATGACGACCCTACTTAGATAGCTGAGCTGTGGCCATACCCTAACCAACTTGAATAAAACGTTTGAAAGCAGTAGCTTGCTTTTGCAGTTTCTTGTAATTTTCTTTGTCTGTAGTAGGACGCCCAGAATGCTTTTTATTATCTGACATCTTATTACGAAACAGTTCTTTTAAAAATATCGATCAAACAAAATCAATACCTAAAACAATTCTATTAACTGTCAACAGTCATGTATCGAATTTTTCTCAGGGTTGGGTAGCGTTAATAAATTCAGAAGTTAAAAGCAAGGTACGGACACAATTTACATTTGCACTTCACAAGTAAAGCTTTAAGTTTAAAGGTATGTCCACACTATTTCATTTCAGAGATTAAGTTTTTTAAATGAAATAAAATCAGATTTTACAGACTGGTTTCATAGAAACTTATTACAGTTCAATAAATTGAACATAATTCTTCCACAAATCATCTAAACAATGACAAATTTAGCAGAATTTATCATTTTTTTTCATCATACTGCATTATAATGCAATATTTTGCTTCAAATCAAATTTGAGCGAAACCTGATTAAATTTGCTCCGAGTTTGCTTTAGACAATTCACAAGGGTAAATCATTTATATAAAATAATAAAAATTTTCTATAATATAAAATAGGTAAATTATGAGTATTGAAATCTTTAATATTTCAACGAATGAAAGGCACCAAAATCTTTAAATTTATTTTATTTATTAAATAATAATCTAGAATATACAATTATCATTTTATAAAGTATAATATAAAAATTGTTTTATAATACATGTATATTTATTGACTATTAATTTAATTACTAAAATGTAGAAAACAAAAAGTTTCTTCTTCAAAATTCATTATTACATATTGGAAAAAAATCCTTAATGCTGTTTTTTGTCTCATACGCAGTAGTAACGTCCTAATAGCTTTTCAATACAGTATTCTGAAAGAACATAAAAAAATATTTAATATTGCATTTTAATAAATAAATATTATTCGATATTTAATTTAAGAACGAACCCATCTGAAATTATTCATTTGATTTTAAATAAATACAGTAAACAAATTTTTTTTTAAATTTATTTATACCTATTGCATGTTGGAGCGAAGTAAAAGAACGATTACTATCTCTACAGTGAAAGTATATACCTTCATCGTAACCAGTAATGCATTTACCTATAAAATAAATGTTAATTAATATTCACTAATTGCAAAAATTTTACAAATTATTTTTTTCAACATTTATAATTTTAGACTAGGAATTTTATTTTTGGTTGCGTTAAAAATTTGAATATGATAAAAAAAATCTTTAAATACACAACTTTAATAAAAAAAAAAAAAAATTGAACATGAAAGAAATATTAAATTTTAATAAGATTATTATTTACCAATTGCTATAGACATATCGTTATAACTCAATGATTCTTTGGTGATGCCAAAATTATTAGAAGTTGCACGTGCTGATGCCATTTGATAATTAGAGAGACTAAATGTAAAAAAGAAAATAAGAAATATAGTATTTTTCCACATTATAAACAAATTGATTTATATTTCGTTAACAGATTTCGTGTATTTTTTTTTAGCAAACAGTAACTATTGGCGAATACACCGAGTTTATATACTTAATTTTTATACAAAATTTGTTTTAAAATAGTAGTCCATCTTAGAGATAATAGAAAAATACTTTACAAACAGAATATATAATTAAAATAATTTTTTTTAAATGTAGATTTATTAAAATTATGGAATATATCATTTAAAAAAAAAAAAAAAAGATGGAGAACAAATAATAAATAAAATATTCATATTAATTTGTTGAAATTATTTTGAATTGTAGTGAATATTTTCTAAGAATTTAGATTTATTATTAATTTCATAGATAAATTTAATAAATTATATACAATTTACACATTAACTTTACATAGACGTTGAAATAAAAGTTAGATAAATATTTATGTATGTTTAATAACGCAAGAGTATTAAATGAATAAATTAATTATTCAAAATCAAAAAAGTACAATGACTTTAGAAAAATTAAATACACACTTGAATCAATTACAATTTAATCAATAGAAGATTGATAAGAATATCAATTTTGTGTATTATTTATAAATATTGCAGGTGCTTATCTATACAAGATTAATGTGCTTTACTATATTTATTATATATATAAATTTTGTATTAAATATATATTGGTATTTACATAGTTTTGCATATATGTATGTGAATAATAAATTATTTTTTTTAATTAAATAATTTTTTAATTTGTTGAAAAGAAAAAAATCAATTAGCTGTTTGTATGATAACAATTTAGTTGATACAAAAAGTTATTTGCTATAGCAGCTAATAGATATTTGCTACATTTGATGAAACGTATTAGGCAGCTAAGGATTAGTAATAGAACAGAGATTATTTAACATTTAACGAAAATGTAATTTACATATTCAGTCAAGTTTTGCTTTAAACATTTGCTCACATGCGGACATTTTAAGATTTAAACCATCTTTTCTGAACGCGGAGATGGAACTTTCCCAAGATAACCTAAAAACATTCATTGAAGGCCTTTCTCCAATAGGAACCTAAACTTTTGCGTTGCGTGACTGACGCGTTGATTTTAGCATTGGTTGCCAATAGCAACCGACGCAATGCATACGCAACGCAAGAGTTTAGGATCCTATTGGAGAAAGGCCTTGAAACTTCAGGGAATTATCGGTGTTGTGTGTGGGGTGGTTCATGAGATAGAAAAGAACACAAATATATCTCTGTCCTTTTCTAACGCATGCATCCCGTTCGCGAAGCTATTGTGCGTTGGCCCTAATGTTCTCCGACTTTAAAAGATTAAGGCCAACGCACAATAGTTTATAAACGAGATGCATGAAATAGAAAAGGATACACATATATACCTGTCCTTTTCTAACTCATGCTTCACGTAATGTTAGTTTATTATAGACACGGGAATACCCTTTTTGAATCTATAACGATAATTATTGATTCATATTGTAAATACATTTTTTAATGTTTATAAAATACATATCACGGGATGTAAACACTATATTTTAAACATCAACAGGAAAATGTTGTTTCCAAAAATCTAAACGTGTTGTTCCGAATTTATTTTCAAATGTTATCGTCGGATTCATATTATCATTTATATTTCCAATCTGAAGAAATGATTGATTATTTATATATTGTTGCCAAAGGTTTGAATTTTTCAATGAATTACTAGACGGTTTTCTGGGAAAATACACAGAATATAACGATATTTCATATATATAATTCATTAGTTAGAATTTATGTAGGTTTTCTTTTTAAAAGTATAATATTTACCCAACTATGGCAAAAGATGTCCACAAGTCTATCATAACATTTACAATATGCTCGTCATGTTGTGAAATATTATTAAATAAAGAGCCATAATTAAATAAATAAAGAAGTTCATTACTGTGTCCAACACCGAAATTTTCTTTTAAACCAAATGCCAAATAAATTCTATTCATTGTACCACGATATCCAAATTTATAACGATAGAAAGGTGTTTCAGTTACTTTGGCTAATTTATTCATTAAAATTTCATCAGGATAAAGAAACATACTGTCGCTAACGAATTTTGTCAAATTTTTCAATAACTGTAAAAAAAACTAGTTTAAAATAATTTTAAGTTAATAAAATTTTCTAAAAGAATTATTAAACTGAGATTTTTTAATACTAACTTTCAGGTTGAAGAGAAATTACCAATAGATTTTTTTTTTAAATATAAATTAAACTAAAATTACCTTGTAATGTTGTTCGTAATTGTTATTTACATAATTAGTAAAATTATTAAAATAATAATTTTCGATAATTTTTTCGAACTCTTCCCTTTTCGTAAAAGTCCCATATTGTTTAAATGCTAAATTAATGCTGTTTTCAAATCCTTTTTCTAACGGTACAATTGATTTATTTGCAAAAAAATCTATTATTGAAAAAATAGTAAATAACTATATATAATTTTTTTTAAACAATTTTAATAAATTGGAAAAACTTTCCTGCAGTTACATAAAGTCCTTCGTCAGCAACAACACCACTGATAAACGGATATTTCTTTATTTTGTTTTGCCGCACTAAATTTTGAGGACTATCCATTAAAAATGCATCTTTTGAAGCAATTTCATTGGTTGGTGTCCAAATAAGTTGTGGCTTTTTAGATTCATAAAATTTGCTTGCTTTTAATAAATTTTTAAAATTTACATTCCTAAGGCATTTTATCATAATCGTAGAATTCACCATTGGACAATCAACACTTTTAGCTACTCTTTCTACATCAATTTTGAAATTAGTTTTATCTCGATATGCACAAGAAGAAAGTGCATTTCCACTTTGCAATATATATTGATGAAATAAACCTTAAAAATTTTAATTTTAATTTAATCCATTTTTCGTATTTTGAGTAATTATAATCTCTTACCGTTTGAAGCATCGGAAAGTGTATGAAAACTAATCGACATACCACCAGCACTTTCTCCAAATAATGTCACTTTATTTTTATCACCTCCAAATGATTCAATATTATTTTGAACCCATTTTAATGCTAGAATTTGATCTTTTAAACCAAAATTTCCAGGAGCCACTAAATCAGCAGTTGTTAAAAATCCAAAAACACCTAAACGATAATTTATAGTAACAAGAACGATATCTTTATCTAAAAAATATTTTGGACCATATTCATTGAATGAATTACTTCCAAATACAAAAGCTCCTCCGTGAATCCACAACATAACTGGAAATCGAGAATCGTTTGGCTGTAAAAAAAATTATAAACAGTATTTGGTTCTTTTGAATTTTTTTATTGTAAATATGAACTAAATTTTTAAATCTCACGTTTGACAAATTAAATTTTGTCAATGGTGTAAAGACATTCAAATATAGACAATCTTCTTGACCTATTACTTCATCTGAATCGAACTGAGGGCATTTGATTTGAAAATTTTCATTGTCAGCTAAATAAGTACCAACCCATTTTTTTATTGGTACTGGACTGCTGAATCTAAAAATTTTAAAAATCTAAAACCAAAACTAGACCAAAGAAAAAATTATTTAAAAAAAACCATTTATACCTTAATTCTCCAACTGGTGGTTCACCATAGGGAATTCCAATAAATGCTGAAAAATCTCTTCTGTTTTTTGTTCTTAATATAACACCCTCAACAATTCCTTGAGAAATATTAACTCGTGGTTTAAATTGCATAGTTTGCATTAAAATACAAAATGAAAATAGTAACAAGATAATAATCATTTTGTGCAATTTCGTATTATTTTATTTTTAAAATTTATGTGGTAATATTTATGTACCATTCATTTTTGTTTACCTTGATTAATATTTTTTCACAAGGGTTATTTTTTTCTCTTTTATTGCCAAGTATTAAAAAAATATTTTTTTCACTTTAAAAAAAGTTGGTATGAAAAAACAATTATCGTTTAAAACACTAGTAACGTACTAATTTAGTTTCTAGTTGCATAAATATTTATCGTACAAAGCTGACAATTTTTTTTTATTATCATGAATGCTTATCACGTACATTCTCACTAACATAATTTATAAGTATTCTATAACAACAAAGAAGATATCGATCACTGCGAGTCAGGCTATCCTGACTTGCAGTGATCGATATCTTCTTTTTGTTATATTTATTTAAAATACGACCAAAAGGTAAATTTTTAATTATATTTTTTAAATTATGTCGGCATTTTTGTATCCGCAATTTTAAATAAAATTCGTCAAAAGTTTAAAAATTATGTCTCCCATTTTGAATTTTTTAATTTTGAAGATTAATGCTGTAAGCAACTTTACCCCTCAATATGGGGTAAATTCGCTCAATTTTAATTCCCAACAAAAGAATTTCCACCTCTTAGAAAGATTCATCAGTATATAAAAAATTAACAACCACTTTTATTTTTAATCCAATCACGATAATATGCGACTTCTGTGTATACACCTGGTTTATTGGGTCGAGCACAGCCTTCTCCCGAAGAAACAATTCCAACAAGTGAATTTTTCACCACAAGTGGACCACCCGAATCACCTTGACAAGCATCGTGACAACCTGATTTGTAACCAGCACAAATATGACCACGTTCAATGTATCGTAAATAAATTCGACATTCAAAAAATGATACTATTGGAATTTTAACTTTTTGCAAATCAAGTGAAATTGAACCACCTTCTTTTTTGACTCCCCATCCAATAATAGACGCCATAATACCGGATTTAATTTCTTTTCTTGCAAGTTGAATTTTTCTACGTCTACTACACCATTTGAAATTTGATTTTACACGTATTAATGCAATGTCATTTGTTATTTTCCATTTATTGTAAAATTCATGAGAGATTATTTGAGAAATTTGATGAAGTGTTCCACCATGTGTTGTAAATGTTGAACCACTTCGTATTTGAATTGATTTAATTTGAATATTATTTATGCAATGAGCAGCAGTGAGGATCCATTTTTTTGAAATTATACTACCACCACAAATATGAGATCCATTCAATTGAATAGACACTTGATGTGGAAAATCTTTAATTAGAGCGTTTGTTCCACCTACAATGCGAAATGAGTCATTGATTTTCTTTAGTGGCAAATTTTCATTACTCAATTGAATAGTCCACGGAACTGAAATTCAGGAGAAAAATATTTCTTTTTGATAACAGTGCCTCAATAGATTAATTTTTGTAGAAAAACAATTCCTTTACTGTTCCAAAAAAAATTCCAACAATTTATTGTTTATAACCCTGGCGGATCTCGAAATCGGAATGTACACGCTGAATTCGTTGTACATTCGTTACACATTGGTTAAACATTTAGTTGGAGTGAAAATTGTGTAGAAACTGAGTGGAAACTGTGGAAAAGTGTAATTGAATTGAATAATAAAAGTATTTAGTAATAGATTTGTGCTGTATTTGTGATAAATTAACGTGTTATTATTAAATAAATAAAGTTTAAAGTGTAAAATGTTCGCGTAAGTGAGTTTGACAGGCTAGGGAATTTTCTAGAGACATCCAAATTGATAGTCGATAAAGAAGTTGAGCCGCCGACTTTGCACGGTAGGTGGCAGCATTCATACTTTCTCCTTTTTAAAAATTCTCTTTTTCAATTTTAAATAGAAAAATTAATTAATAAGTTATATAGTTTCTATGTTGTCATTTTTTTTCGATTTTTGAAGATTGTTTAATGAGATAAATTAAACTTGTATAATCGATGCAAATTGTTGTTTTTTAATTAAATTCAATTAAATTAATTTAATCATAATTTTAATAAAGAAAACTTTTTTATCTTTCTTTATTTTATTATTATTTATTTTTAATATAAATGTATAATTAAAAGAAAAGATTTATTTAAAAGTATTTTAAAAACAACAATTTGCATCGATTATACAAGTTTAATTTATCTCATTAAACAATCTTCAAAAATCCAAAAAAAAAAATGACAACATAGAAACTATATAACTTATTAATTAATTTTTCTATTCACAATTGAAGAAGAGATTTTTTAAAAAGGAGAAAGTATGAATGCTGCCACCTACCGTGCAAAGTGGGCGGCTCAACTTCTTTATCGACTATCAATTTGGATGTCACTAGAAAATTCCCTAGCCTGTCAAACTCACTTACGCGAACATTTTACACTTTAAACTTTATTTATTTAATAATAACACGTTAATTTATCACAAATACAGCACAAATCTATCACTAAATACTTTTATTATTCAATTCAATTACACTTTTCCACAGTTTCCACTCAGTTTCTACACAATTTTCACTCCAACTAAATGTTTAATCAATGTGTAACGAATGTACAACGAATTCAGCGTACATTCCGATTTCGAGATCCGCCAGGGTAGAAATACAATTCCTTTACTGTTCCAAAAAAAATTCAAACAATTTATTGTTTATAATTCAGTTTTAAAAAAAATTCGGATTGAAATTTAATCAGTTTTATTAAGTGTGTTATTCCGAGGCATTATCTTCGAGCCAATTATAGTTTCTAGCTGAATATAAATTTTTTTCTAACTTAACAAAAAATTCTTCTGCAATCATTCCAATTTAATCCGTTCATTCCGAAGCTGAATTTTAATCTTTTTGAATCATGTATTTCTTACTGTGATTTATAATTAATTTTTTTATAATCCAAAATAATTCGGAATATAATATATTATTCAAATTAAAATTCTGCATCGGAATTAAACTAATTGGATTAGGAATGATTCTCAACAAATTTTTGAAAATTATTAGCTCGAAAACAAATAAATACAGTTTATTTATAATTATTCTAACAGAGAATATAGTTTAAAGGATATGACAATTATTGAGGATGTAGGGCGTTAAAATAAAAGAAAATATTTAAATAAAAAAAAAACAGGACTTATATATTTTATAAAACTAAATAAGTTACAACATTTCGCGAGTCCACTTAACTATTTCTAGGCAAATAGACTCAAAATTCTATTACAATAGAAAATTTGCTTAACAAAATAAAAACTGAGTAGGAAATTTAGTTAAAAGGTTCAACAAGCATGTTATTAGTAAATACAAAATTAACTTACCACAAGTGATAAGAATTGTATGAAAAATAACTTTCATATTCATGTTAAAAAAAATTATATTCCATAATTAACATTTTACATAACATCTAGAATTAAAATTCTTAATATTTTATACTGCTTTCATTTTTTACGCTGTATTTATACATTTTGTCTAAAATATAGTGTTTTTTACATTCGTCTATGAATAGCATATATTTTTACGATCACTTTTATCGAAATACAATTGAAAAAAAGATTTACAGAAACAAAACTCAGTAAATATCATATATAATTTATAGCTTTGCGTTTTTTAAATTGTAGTCTTTCACATATCTATTTTGATAAAAGATTTTTAACTATCCATTCTTGTTATACTAAATCATGCTTACTTTGATAACAAAAAAAATTTACTAAACGAAAACAATGACATGAAAGACATTTTTTAAAAAAAGAAAAAAAAACACCGTCCAGCTGGGGCAATTATGGTACAAGCTAGTTTTTATTTTGTAAAATATTAATTTCGAAATATTAAAATTTGACACCTAGCTGTAATTGTAATGTGATAACTTGGCAACAGAGTAACTGTAATGTTATTAGTAAATTCGGTTTTAGAAATCAGAAAAAATTAATAAAGACGAAATAATTATACGAAAATTAATTTCCTAATAAGTAAAAAAAAACTCCTGTGCTTCAATTTTATACACAAATCACCTTTTTTTGTATCAGAAAATTAAAAATAAGTCAATTATAATTTTACTTAATTTAATTTTTTTTAATTGTGCGTTGGCCTTAAAGTCAGGTCTAAGTGAGGCAGCGCCATCTACATTGAAACTAAAATTTTGGAACATTTTCAACAGCCTTTTCTTGAAAACAATATGGTAAAATGCTTTTTCCTTTATGGATAATTGATTATTGGCAAGAAATACACCAGCTAAAACATTTTTTGAGTTAAAATAATGAAAAAATTTCATGTCAATAAATTAAATATGAGCAGTTTTTTCACAAAAACTGTAACAGTTCTTTCTCAGAAATTACAATCAAAAATGCAATTTCCATTTGGAAAATTAATAAACGCTAAAAAATACACGACCTAAGATTTACCAATCACGAAAATAACAAAGAAAAAGTATTTTAACATAACATATTTTACTCATTATGACAGCCCTTTGGCAGGTTATATATGTCACCAGACGTTTCGCAGTTTTGCCGAAAGGAGGAGATTGGCGCTGTTGCTAACCACCTGAAATACATAATCTACCAAAGGGCTGTCACAATCAGTAAAGCAGTATCAATATGTTAAATATTTAATAAAATTTTTTTTTCTTATTTTCGTGATTGGTAAATCTTAGGTCGTGTATTTTTTAGCGTTTATTAATTTTCCAAATGGAAATTGCATTTTTGATTGTAATTTCTGAGAAAGTACTGTTACAGTTTTTGTGAAAAAAGTGCTCATATTTAATTTATTGACATGAAATTTTTTTATTATTTTAACTCAAAAAAAGTTTTTAGTTGGTGTATATCTTGCCAATAATCAATTATCCATAAAGGAAAAAGCATTTTACCATCTTGTTTTCAAGAAAAGGCTGCGTAGAAAATTTTCCAAAATTTTAGTATCACTGTAGATGGCGCTGCCTCACTTGGACCTGGCCTTAAGGAGAAATCTCACCTATGGCTGGCTCTAACGGAATGTTGCCCTGTTTTCGGTATTCACAGTTCTCAAGTTTCCACTAATCTAATTACACTTATTGCGCCTCTAGAGGGAAACCGCGGTATTAAAATCATGTGTTTACAAAATACAGAGTTTAATACCACAATTTCCCGCGGTTGGCGCAAGTGTAATTAGATTGGTGAAAAATTGAGAACCGTGAATACCGAAAACGGGGCCATCTTTTATATACAAAATTAATATGAATTTTACAAAGGGTACAACATAACCTCAAAAAATAACAGTATAATTTTATATATAGTTTAGTTATTCAATTAGCTTGAAATTTATTTAAATTATATCATTCCTAACCTAAAAAAATTTAGTAATTATAATAAAATCCCTATAATAATAATAATAATTTTTCAGCAACTTTTAAAAAATTATTTACAGAATATTTAGTTTGAAAAGTTTCCATACAGTTTAATTTAAAAAAAAAAAAAAAATTTCTTTATTTTAGGAACAAAAACACAACTTTTATAACATAATAGCCCCAAACGCGGAGCTTTTGTAATACAAACTTTGAGTTTGTATAACCATAAAATTTTTTTTTTCTAATAAAACTTAAAGAAAAATTTCCCTGGTAGAATAAAATCACTCAACGTCCACTTTATAAAGCACATATTGGGTAGAAATTTGGTAATTCGCAAAAAAAAGGTTAAAACGACAAAATATGAAAAAATTTGTATTGCAAAATATAAATGAATATGTAGTGACTTAATTCTAGTAATAATTGCATTAAATAAAGCATTAAATATTAAAAAATTAATAATATAAATTATGCAAAGTAACTTGTCATATTTACATTCTATATAGGTTTTTATAATATTTCCAATAAATTAATGTAAAATTGACCTGTCAATTTGTCATTCTGTGGGATTTCGAAAAATTTTAATAAATTAATAGAAATTGATGAGGAATTTAATTTGTATTCAAATAAAAACCTATTTGAATATAGCATTGTGACGACAGTATGTTCACGTTTTTGTAGTTAGTGTTGAGTCACCTTAAAACGTAAACATTTTCATAGCCATTGTAGAATTAGCTTTATATCAAACTGTGAAATCCCCATAAGGAGCTCATTGTGAACATACCCATCCCTGCTTGCAGACGTCTCCATGTGAATTTCCCCTAAGAAGGAAGAATGCGACAGAAAAGAACAGAAATATTTTCTACCTTTCTCTATCATTTTTAACGTTTTTTGGCGAATCTAACGCTTGGAGAAAAATTATTAACTGATTCATTCATTGACAAAAACAGGAAAGAATTTGTAAGAGCTAGGTAAGTGCGGAGTCGGTATCAAAACTACACAAGAATTTTCATAAAAAAGTTATATTGTACAAAACATAAGAATCGCTATTTTTTACATTATATTTTTTTAATGTTGTTTTTATTTTTTGTTAATTTTAACTTTTTTGTAAATGAAAAAAAAATTTTTTTATTTTTTTATTTTGTACATTGAAAATTTTTTTGTTTGTTCTTAACGTTATTTTTTAAATACAGAAAACAAATTTTTCGTTATTTTTTTGGGGCAATTCGAGGTGCCCACAAACGAAATGCATACATTAAAACTGTATATAAACTGCATTTACATTCAGATCTTCTTTATTTCAATTATTTAACAAATTTTTAACTAAAATTTTTCTCTAAATTAATTATTTTTAATAATTTTAATGAAATTCTTCACAAATTCAATTATCTTACATTATTTTTCAATTAAAAATTTTATATAATTCAACAATTTGTCATTAATATACCTGAAATCTGACACAAAGATTTCCAAATATATTTACATTTTTTTTTTAAATTTTGATAAAAATTTGAAATTTTTTAAAAAAATTTTTTTCATTGTAAATTTAATTTTGTTTGGTAAAAAAACTTATTTCTTGCATTAAAACGAATTGATTAACCTATATTAAGTTCATATTTTACTGAAATCTATAGATTAAATCATTTTTTTGTATTTTTTGAAATAACTTTTTCTTATATAGAAATTTTAATTAATTCTTGTCAAAATTGTATTCCTGGCATGAAAACGAATCGATTGATGTATATATATAGAGTTTTTATATTTTACCAATATTTATAAAATTGATCGCTATTTTAGTTGTAATCCTTCTTTTATAATCTTGAATATAAGTGTATCATGATGAGGAAGCTAAATGGTCATGAAATGAACATCTTGTTTTATAAATTCTTCAACAACAGAAATCAAAAAATTTTAATTTAAAATCACTTGAATTCAATTATTTTAAAAAATTTCAATTTAAAATCACTTGAATTCAATTATTTTAAAAAATTTCAATTTAAAACTTTATAAAATTTCAACTGCAACTCTTCCAAAATTTAATGATTTTAAATGATTTTTATAATATTCAATTATTTGAAAGCATTTTTCAATTGAAAACTTTTGAAATTCAATTTTTGTCTATAATTTTTAATAAATTCTTCAACGCCAAAAATTTCAATTAAAAATCATTTGAAGTTCAATTATTTTCAAAAATCTGAATTTGAAATTTTCGAAAATTCAATTATTTGAAAACATTTTTCAATAAAAAAAATTTTTAATTTCAATTTTTGTCTTTAATTTTTTATAAATTCTTCAACAACAGAAATCACCAAGAATATTTCAATTATTTTCAAAATTTTCAATTTAAAACTTTCTAAAATTAATTTTATTTCTAAAAATTTCAACTGTAACTCTTCCAAAAATTTAATGATTTTAAATGATTTTTATAATATTTTTCAAACATTGAATTATTTGAAATTATTTTTCAATTAAAAACTTTTGAAATTCAGTTTTTGTCTGTAATTTTTAATAAATTATTTATCACCAAAAATTCAATTATTTGAAATTATTTTTCAATTAAAAACTTTTGAAATTCAATTTTTGTCTGTAATTTTTAATAAATTCTTCATCACCAAAAATTATTATTATTATTATTTATTATTGTCTGAAATTTAACAAAATCTTTTGAAATTTAATTATTTCTAAAAATTTAAACTATAATTCTTCCAAAGTTCAATTATTTTTAATAATTTTAATATTTCTTTAAAACTTCAATTATTTAAAAAAGTTTTAAATAAAAACTAAAATTGAATTGTCAGAATTTTTACATTCTCATCATAATGAGAAGGTATTACATTTGGGCGATTTTGAGCCCTCTCTAATTCCAGTGAATCTCGACGTTTTGAGACTTTCTGATGCCGAAAAAATGGGTCTTAAAAAAATGTCTGTCTGTATGTATGTATGTATGTCTGTAGACAAATTTTGTCCGACGATAACTCGAACAAATTTTAATGAATCGACTTCAAATTTGGTATACACTTTAAGTGTACCAAAATCTCGCCTGAGTTCGTTGGCCAGATGATTTCATCAAAAATCAACAAAATTATTCAAATTTTGAATTTTTAAAAATTCCTAAAATTCGCATTTTTCAAAAAAAAAATTTTCAATTTTTTTTCGAAAAATACGAGTAAAAATAAATACTTTTTTCCTTTGACAATTTTTATTAGCGATTAAAACAAAAAAGTTATACCTCTTTTTTTAAAAAAAGGACAAAAAAAGACAAAAACGGATGAAAAATGGGTAAAATGCAGGGCAAAATTACTTTATTTTGAGAAAACATAAGCAACTATGTATTATCTCTGTTTAAACCATCTTAAATTAACACAAATTACAGTAACTTACTAATAAAATTATAAATTTTTTGTTTTTTTTTTTTTTTTTTTATAAGTCCATCAATTGTTATCCATTTCCAAACATTGCAATTGTTTTATAAAAAATCCTCTATTCCAAAATAGTTTATATTGCACTGTTTATACCAGAATTTCTTATGTTTTCGATTACTAACTCGCTGAATCCGAATTTGAGTTCAGATTAAAAAATATCAAAATGGCGGACCCAATATGGCAGAATAATTTTAAATTGATTTGTTTCGTTTAAAATTTTGTACTCGGAAGTTTTTGGGGTCGGTGAATCCAAATTTGAGGTAAATTTTAAAAAATTCAAAATTGCAAATCAATATGGAGGAAATTTTAAAATTGATTCGATTCGTTCAAAATTCGGTACTGGTGGTTTTTTGGCTTCTATGAATCCAAATTTTGAATCTGTTAAATTTTATCCCCAAATTTGATTCAACTACCCCAAAAACCCCCTAGCACCGAATTTTGAATGAATGGAATCAATTTTAAATTTTTCCGTCATATTGGGTAGCCAATAATAATAATATTCCTATTGAATAATTCTTATTAAGAAATTAATAAAATGGATTAAATATCTAATAATTTGAAAGTATCGGGCACATGAATGATTAATTTTTATTATATGTAATTATTTTGATGTTATCTGTATGTTATAGACAGCTCTGTCTGAATAAAGAATTTATTACTATTGACAATCTGCAAATAACAAAAAAAAGACTTTTAAATTATTTGAATGAAACATATTATTATTTTGGGAGAATAAAATATTTACTCTTACAAATATTTTATAATATATTTATTTATATATAGACAATCTGCAACTAATGAAAAAGGCTTTTTAAATTATTTGAATGAAACATAATATATTGAGAGAGTAAAATATTAAGAAAAAAGTATTTTGGGAAAATTAATTATTTTTTTTCAAATTTATGAATTTTTTTAAAAATAAATTAACATTGTTTAAACATAAAACAATCAAGTAAAAAAAATTCTTATACTTAAATAATCGTACATTAATAGAAAAAATTATCAATCAAAAAAGTGTGAAGCAAAAAATTATTTAAACAAAATTTAAAAGAAAATTTTTTTAAAAATTTAAATTTATTAACTTAAAATTAAAAAGAAACTTTTCTGATAGTTCTTTAATAAAAAAGCAAAAAACTACATGATTTTATTTAAATAAAATTTAATAAAAAGTTTATAAATCAATTCAATTGTTTAAAGAAAAGCTGTAAAGTTAACAAAAAAAAAAAATTTTTCTACCTAATTCTATTTTTTTTTCTTCATAAAATATGAAAAAAAATATATTGTTTAAACAATTAATAAATAATTTTAAAAATTCATCAAATCTTCGATTTTATTAATTAAGGAATTTTTTAATATATTCAAAAATAATTTAGAAAAGAATTTTTTTATTTTTCCTCAAAAACTCTCCCCCTTAAAATAGGCAATCCAAGTTGCTGCTCCTCAATAAATCCTTGCACTTGTGCATTGCTACAGACAAGAGTAATGTGCAATGCACAAACAAGAGCATGGCCTTAGCCTTGCAGGAGTGATATTACCATCACGATCATTTTAGTTCTCGAAATAGAAAGGAAGGCGTCCAGTGGCGTCAGTATTGCCACAGTTTAGTGTCAGTGCGATGAAGCGTTGTGTATCATTAAAAATCGGTTAAAATTATTTTCTTTCAATTATATAGTTTATATATATATATATATATGTATATATATTTATGTTTAACCTAATTTTAATCAGATGATAATATTTCATAATAATTATGTTAAATTGCAAAATTTATAAAATTTTTAAAAAGAAATCTCTGCTCAATTTATAATATATTTAATATGAAATAGAAAAAATATTTCCGTGATTTTAGAAATCTCAACAATATGACAGATTTCAGTGAGAATTTATTGTGTGTTACTCATCACACAACTCAACTCAAGGTTGTGTAGTAGTGTAAGTGTTACTGAACTTTGTTTTTATTACTATTTTTATTATTATCATTGTTATTCTTATTATTTTTATTATTAGACATTTTTTTTTCTATTTTATAAGTTATATTACAAAATTTTAAATGATGATAATTTTATAATGCATATTAATTCTTCTTCATTGCAGTGAAATTTTAAATAAATTATTACTTATCTTTGGCCTAAAGATAAAACTCAAAAAAAAAAAACAAAAAAAAAAAAAAATGTCTTTAGAAGATATGAAACTATTGGATAGTGACAATAGCACAAATGCATTAGATGATACAAACAATATATGGGAACATATAACTGATACTTATCTTCAAATGTTGGCTTTCATTTTTGGACTGATTATTAATATAATCACAATTTTCGTTATAGGAAGAAAGAGACTTGTACAAAAAACCAATTTTTACCTCATTAGCCTTACCGTCTCTAATATAGTTATTTTAATTTTAAGTAAGACTTTTACATATCTATTTTTTTATATGCGTATGAGGCATTCTATGGGAAATTTTCATTGAACATTTTTTTTTTGTCCGAAACATTTTTTTTCGAAATCTATATGTGCGATTCCAGGTGAGATTTTGACTTTTTCGGAGTAGGTTAACCGATTGCAATGAAACATTGGAATTTTGTTATATATAGTAAGACTAATCTTTAACGTAAATTTCAGCTTAAAATATTTGTTAGTTTACGAGATTTGCAATAATAACAAAAAAATTTTAAACTGCTATATCTTTCGTTCTAATAATCGGATTGAGGTCTACTTTTTTTTAAAATGTCAAGGAAAATGAGAGGAATAAATCTCTTTTAGAACAATTTTTCATAATTTTACAACTAAAAAAATTATTAAATAATAATTGAATAAATTTCACGCGACAATCTAAAATTCAATCACTTAAACGCTAAAATGATCTTATCAGTGTTTTCTTTAATGTTCCAAAGGAATCCAATTGTAAATGCAAGTTTAACTTGGTTAATTTTAATAATTTACGAGTATAAACAATTGCGATTTCTGCTAGTTGACGTGCAGACGACATTGCGCACGCAGCATTCTCCTGTAACCAACTGACGTGATTCGTGGACTAAATTGGCTACGTGAGAATGCTGCGTGCGCAATGTCGTCTGCACGTCAACTAGCAGAAATCGCAATTGTTTATACTCGTAAATTATTTAAATTAAATAAGTTAAACTTGCATTTACAATTGGATTCCTTTGGAACATTAAAGAAAACACAGTTAAGATCATTTTAGCGTTTAAGTGATTGAATTTTAGATTGTCGCGTGAAATTTATTCAATTATTATTTAATAATTTTTTTAGTTGTAAAATTATAAAAAATTGTTCTGTAAGAGATTTATTCCTCTCATTTTCCTTGACATTTTAAAAAAAAGTAGACCTCAATCCGATTATTAGAACGGAAGATATAGCAGTTTTAAATTTTTTGTTATTATTGCAAATCTCGTAAACTAACAAATATTTTAAGCTGAAATTTACGTTAAACATTAGTCTTACTATATATAACAAAATTCCAAAGTTTCATTGCAATTGGTTAACGTACTCCGAAAAAGTCAAAATCTCACCTGGAATCGCACATTATTATTATTATTATTATTATTATTATTATTATTATTATTATTATTATTATTATTATTATTATTCATTTAAAATTGCAATAATATGAATTTAAATAATGAAACTAATCTATTTAATTTGTGCACTTTTCAGATGTTATTAAAGAATACAAAATTGATAGTCTGCATCAGACTTACATTGAATGTAAAACATTTCCTTACTTGCAACAAGTGTAAGTAAAATTTTTATAAGATTGCTTAGAATGTTCAGCGACATTTAAAAAACGTTCAGGCCTCGGATTATACGACTTTTTCCGACTATTTGTCAAAAATACAACTTTTTTCGACTTATTTTAATGAAATGCGACTTTTTTTTTACATTTTCTTTATAAAATTTTTAAACAAAATACGTTTTTTTTTTTTGTATACAATGCAGATGTTCTTAAGATCTTCTTTTTTTCGATTATTTAACAAATTTTTAACTCTAAAATTCTTCACTAAATTAATTATTTTCAATAATTTAAATGAAATTCTTCAACAAATTCAATTATCTTAAAATATTTTTCAATTAAAATTTTTATGAAATTTAAAAATTGTTTATAATTAAAAAAAAAATTAGCAAATAAAATTACTAAAAAAATTTTTAATTCAAAATCACTTGAAATTTAATTATTTTTGCAAAAAATTTCAATTATTTTTTAATGATTTTTATAATATTCTTTGAAAATTCAATTATCTAAAAGCAAATTTTCAATTAAAAACTTAGAATTCAATTTTTTTTAATTTCTAATAAATTCTTCATCAACAGAAATCACTAAAAATTTCTCTTATTACAATTATTGTCTGAAATTTAATACAATCTTTTGAAATTCAATTATTTTCAAAAATTTCAATTTAAAAGCTTCTAAAATTTAATTGTTTTTAAAATTTACCATTTAAAATTTCTTAAAATTTAACAATTTCAATATTATAATTCTAAATTTTTTCTAAAATATTTTAAATTTTAACAAAAAAATCTCAGTCTTTAACAAAAACGATTAAAATTTAAACTTATGTATAGAAACATTTAAATCTAAAGAAAAATATTTAATTTAATTTTTTTTTTTAATGCGTCATTTTTAATGTATTTATAAAAATTTTAATTACTTCTTTTAATTGTAATTAAAAATCGTTTAATTATTATAAAAGCTGTTTAAATTTTCCAGATTTATTTTAAAGGGAATTTTCCACAGAATAAGAAATAATTATAAACATTAACTTGTAATTATTTTCTTCAAAAATATAAACCATCAAAGTTGTACCAAACAAAATTCGAAAAATGATAATGGATTTTTTTATAATAAGATAACGTCTTGTAAATTAAATAAAACTTGATATTGTTTAGATTTTTCAATGAAATAGATAAAAAGGAAAATTTTTTTTTTTAATTTGAAATTTAATTTTAATTCAAATTTTAAATATTTTTCTTTTAAAAAAAGGATTTCAAATTTTTCGAATTTTGTTTGGTATTACTTTGTAGGATAGTATTTTTCAAAGAAAAAAAAAAATTACAATTTTCATTCTATAAAAAATCACCATTAATAATGGTTTATTATTTTAAAAGTAACATAAAATTTTTCTATTTCTATAGTGTTAAAAAATAATCAAATTCGTTACTTTTTACTTTTATTTACTTGAAAAATCTCCCTATATGTATTTAGAAAAAAAAATCATAGAATTAAATTAAGAAAATGTTCACTAAAATTTAAAAACAAAACGGTTTTTTTTCGCCTTTAAATGTAGGATTCAAAAATAATTTTTGTTTTATAAAATTAATATTTTTAATAGATTCTTTAAATTATTTAGTTGTAAAATGTCATTAAAAAAAGTGTTCTTTATGTAAAATTTTTAAATGTAAAGCAATAATGCTATTAAGGTGTTTCATAAACGAATATTTATTCACGTCAACGTTCATTTCACGTTGAAAAAACAAGTTCTCGTCCGATCACTTAAGTTAAGCAACGTTGAGCGCGGTTAGTACTTGGATGGGTGACCGCTTGGGAATACCGCGTAATGTTGACATTCTTTTTTTTTTTTTTTAATTTAAAAATTTTATATTTCTTAAATTAATAATAATAATCGTTTTTTTATTTCAGAATGCTGTGTGTAATTGTAATGCATTTTTTAATTTTAATTATTTACTGGCATAAATATACCAGTCGTTTAGAACATTCAAAATTGTTTTTGAAGCAAAACCAAGTCATATTGCTTCTAATTTTGTTAATTAGTTTTATAATTGCCAGTCCTTTTTCATATTTTAATGTTATTTATGTGAAACATTTTGCAGGTAAAATTAAATTTATTTTTTTTTTTAATTTATAATCACTATAATTATTATTTTTAAATATTGAAATTATCGTTTTTTTCAGAGATAAATGAACAATCTGTGTGTACACAAACAATGCCAAAATATGTTCAAGGTATATGGATAATGATTTTCTTTATTGTTCCAATGATAATTATTTTGATATTATTTTTTGGTATAAGAAAAAATATTCGTGAAAGTATTCATACAGCTGGATATTCTGCAAATCAAGATGAAATTAATTTTAATTTAAAGCAAATTTCTTGGAGAAAAAAAGCAGTTACATTTTTATGTGAGTTATTTACTATTTATTTTCTTTTTTTTTATAATTTGAAAATAATTCAATTCAACTAATAATAAGTTGAAATATATTAATTTTTATAATTTTTCTTTTTTTTACAGTATTGGCTGTAGCAACACTTTTTGTTTGTAAATTTCCTGAAGTTTTTTATACTTTAATTTCATGTCATTTTACCTTAGCCTCTGATTCAAGATGGAATTCATTTTATACAGCGTCTTCATATATTTATACAGCAGCAAGTGCCATACTTTTTATAATGACTAGTATAAAAGCAAATTCATTGACAACTATGAAATGTAATCAAAAAATTGATTCACCAATTCAAAATGAATCTCAATCAATGTCAATTATTGTTGAAGAAAATAATCATCAATGAAATTTTTTGATCTTATTTTAAATATTGTGTAGATACAATTTTTTTTTTTTTAACCGAAAAGACAGCTACTATTGTGATTCTTAGATCTGGTTATTTCTATGTATATACATGACAATATAATTGTTTTTTTTTTTACAATCATGTAACATATTTGTCTTATGTAAATAAATGAAAATGTTTTTTTTTTTTTAATACTTGTGTGTTTTCCTTTAAGTAAGAGATTTGCACACAAAAATGAGTTCAATTAATAATAAGATATGTCAATAATATAAATTCTTAGTTTTTTGCTTTCAGATCAAATTTATGGACTCCAGAATGAAATCAAAAAATCAATTTTTTAGATGTCCATAAATAGGACAAACAAAAAGATGTTTAAAACGTAGAATATATGAACATAAAAGAAATTACCTACACTACCGTCCGAAATTGTGCGAACTCTGCTTTTTCAACAACTATAAAACTGTTCAAATCTTCAAAAATATTAAAACTAAAATTTTTTCCTCTTTATTTTATTAAAGCTAATAAAATTCTGAAAGAAATGACACCTTGACAAAGAGAATATGTTAATTTTTCAATTAGATATCTAAGAAAAACTCAATTTTCAATGTTTTTACTATTTTTTTTATTTCTATGGCAAAAATTAATATTTTTAAACGTTCTTAGGCTCATTGAAATCGTATTTTGTTATGCAATTCAAATTATATAAAACAATTCATGTACACATTCTTCCCTAGCGTATGCAAACCGTGAAAGTTGTCTCATAAAATGTCAAAAAATTTAAATTTAATTCTACAATAAAATATAATGTTTAAAAATCAAGTAAATATATCATTCTAAACTTCTCTGATTTATGTAAGTAAATTTAAGATTTATACATTTTACTGATCATTTTTTGTCATATAAATATTAATCACAATTTTTTGACATTTTATGAGCCAACTTTCACGGTTTGCATACGCTAGGGAAGAATGTGTACATGAATTGTTTTATATAATTTGAATTGCATAACAAAATACGAGTTCAATGAGCCTAAGAACGTTTAAAAATATTAATTTTTGCCAGAAAAATAAAAAAAATAGTAAAAACATTGAAAATTGGGTTTTTCTTAGATATCTAATTGAAAAATTAACATATTCTCTTTGTCAAGGTGTCATTTCTTTCAGAATTTTATTAGCTTTAATAAAATAAAGAGGAAAAAATTTTAGTTTTAATATTTTTGAAGATTTGAACAGTTTTATAGTTGTTGAAAAAGCAGAGTTCGCACAATTTCGGACGGTAGTGTAATACCATATGATAAACAAACTGCCCTCACAAAACATATTGATAAACATAATCACAACTTTGATTTAAAAAATTTTTTTTAATAAAACCAGGCCTTGGATTATAGAACTTTTTTTTGACTTTTTTGGACTTATTTTAACCTCTTAACTGCGATGACGAAGATTTGACGGACAAAATCTTCGTCATCAGCAGTTAAGAGGTTAATAAAATGCGAGTTTTTCGACTTTTTTAGGGTTCCGTACTCGGTTAGGAACCCTATTAATATCGGTTTTTTTGAAATAGTGTACTTCCCCCCCCCCTAGCGGCCACACGAATTTATCTGGAGGGCTGAAATTTGGTACACATATGTATTTTCGCGTGTAGATTACAGGAAAAATATAGCGAACTTGATTCAGATTAATTTACATAGCGTTGTCAAGAAAAAATCAAAAATTTCGAAAAAAAAATGATTTATTCTCCCTACCGCACACAACATTCAACCCAAACAGTTCACATTTGCTGTAAAACTGTATTTTTGCGTGAAAAATACAGGGAAAAAATGTAAGCGCGATTGGAGTTGATGATCAATTTTTATCAAATTTTTCAAGAAAAATGATAAATTTAAGAAAAAAAAGGAATTTTTCCGCAAAAAACGAAAAAACTTTATCTAAAGTGATTGAAATTTATATATGTGTCCTGACGCGGTGAAAGGGACCTTCTGGTCCAAAAAATTAATTTTGAATTATTGATGCCATTCTATCCAGATTCTTTCAATCGATAAAATGGTATTGATATCTCAAAATTAATTTTTTGGACCGTAAGGTCCCTTTCACCGCGTCAGGACACATATTTAGACGTATTTTTACGTGTAGATTACAAAAAAATATAGCAAGGATGATTGGAGTTGATTTTTCTGGAGTTGTCAAGAAAAAACTGATAATTTTAGAAAAAATCATGAATTTTCTCCCAATAACGGAAAAAATTTTATCTAAAGGGCTTCAAATTTACTATTTTTACGTATTCTTATGTGTAGATTATAGAAATAATTTAATAAACATGATAAGAAGTGGAAACAGTGGACTTTATGCTTATGTTTATTTCTTCAGTCGTTATAACTCTAAAATAAAAAAATCCGGCATCATAATGAGAAAGTATTACATTTGCCCGATTTTGACCAACCTCTAATTCATGTAAATCTCCACGTTTCAAGTCTTTCTGATGTCAAAAGAATAGGTTTTAAAAAAATGTCTGTATGTATGTATGTATGTATGTCTGTCTGTAGACAAAAAAGTTTGCTCGACGATAACTCGAACAAATTTTAATTTTTCTGGTTATGTTACAACACAGAATAATTTAAAAAAAAGTGTGGAAACAAATTGACAGCCAAGTACGAGTAGAGGAAGACACATATTTCCACCTAAAAGTCATCTAAAACCATAAAAAAGTACCCAAAAAAATTTAATTTTCCTTAGGCTGACGATTTTAAAGCAAATTCTTGCACAAAATAGTCCTAAAAGTGTAGAAAAAAATTGACAGCCAAATACGAGTAGAGGAAGACACATATTACATTATAAAAGTCATCCAAAACCATAAAAAAGTTCCCAAAAAAATTTAATTTTCCTTAGGCAGACTATTTTATTGCAATTTCTTGCACAAAATACACCTAAATGTGTAGAAAAAAATTGACAGCCAGATACGAGTAGAGGAAGACACATATTTCCACCTAAAAGTCATCTAAAACCATAAAAAAGTACCCAAAAAAATTTAATTTTCCTTAGGCAGACTATTTTAATGCAAATTCTTGCACAAAATGCGCCTAAAAGTGTAGAAAAAAATTGACAGCCAAATACGAGTAGAGGAAGACACCTATTACCATCTAAAAGTCATCCAAAACCATGAAAAAGTTCCAAAAAAAATTGTTACACGGTTCACATCATCATTACGTAATATCTTGCTAAACGAAAACTAAAATATTTTCACTTAAGCGGCAACCTAGATTTAGTAACATAGAGTATTGTAATTTTTAGATTTAGGAGTTCTTTTGTACGAAAGGACATGTCCCGTTATGTTTCCAAATAAATAAATAAATATATAAATAATTTTAAAAAAAGTTAGCAAATAAAATTACCAAAAATTTTTAATTCAAAATCACTTGAAATTTAATTATTTTTGCAAAAATTTCAATTATTTTTAATGTTTTTTATAATATTCTTCGAAAATTTAATTATCTAAAAGCAATTTTCAATTAAATAGGGTTTTCAAATTATTGTATTTTTGTCTGCAAATTGTAATAAATTTTTTAATGAAATCATCAAAAATTTTAAATTAAAAATCACTTGAAGTTCAATTAATTTCAAAAATCTAAATTGTAGATCTTTGAAAATTCAATTACTTTTAAAAAATGTTATTTAAAATTATTTGATAAATTTTTTTTAATTCTGTAAAATTTAATTATTGTCTGAAAATTAATAAAATCTTTTGTAATTCAATTATTTTTAAAAATTTCAACTTTAACTCTTCCAAAATTATTATTTAAAAAAGAAATTTTATTTAAAGATTTGTAAAACTTGATTAAGTATTGCCTGAAATTTTCGACTTTGTTTGGAATATAAATCGACTAAAACGACTTTTTTTTGTGCCTTAAAGTCGATCCGAGGCCTGTAAAACAGATAAATATAGAAAAAGATTTTTTCTTGAAATGACTCGAATAGTTACTTCCAACTCGGTAAAAATTATTATATGTACTTTACAGAAAATAATAAATTACTGAAAAGATCTCAAACCAAGGGTCGAAACATGATTTGAAAGTGCAACTATTTTATCCATCAAAATTAAAAAAAAAAAAAACTAAAAGCAAATTAAATTATTTAACACCCCAAAAATAGTAAATACTTACAATATTTTTATTATTTTTTTTCATTACATAAAAAATAATTTATAAAATATACGTATACACATTTTTTTTTAATTAAAAATTACAAGCCTCTTTAAATACATGTTTAAATAGAACAATGAATAGAAAATTTGAATTTTTACGTTGAATATTAAAGAATGATTTTTAAATATTACAAGCGCATGTATTATAAGCAATCAAAAAAATTAATACTGTAGTGTTTAATAAGTTTATTTTGCACAACAAGTGTCTTTTTGTTATATTTATATACACACATATAATTAGTAAATATAAATAAAAATTTATAAAAAAAAAAATTGTGATTTAATATAATTTGAAACTATCTAAATTATTTGGATAAAAAGTATCATCGATACTTGAGTGAAAAAAATAACAATAATAATAATAATTATATTCGAATACTGATTGAAAAAGAATTAACTACTTTTTACACTATCGAACTTCAATATTAATACTCTTTTTCTCTAATAGGAATTTTCTAAGTACATTTTTGCATAATTATCAAAAAAAAAAATTTTTTTTTTCTTTTCTATAATTATGCTTCTCCTTTATTTGTAAATTTTCCACTGCCTTTCTTTGTAGGTGTCAACGTTTGTAGAGATAGGTTTTTCATTTTTCTGAAACAATAACAATTGTATTTTAAATAATCTGTATATTTAAATTTAAACTTTAACATTAATTATAAATTAATTAAGTTCAATTAATTAAAAAGTTAAAAATAATTTGCAAAAAAAACAAATATGGATCCGTAAAATAGTAAAAAAAAATTAAATATAAATATATATTCTTCAATGTCAAATATCAAATCATTTTTTTTAAATCCAAAAAATCGGTTTGTCCCACAGGTACATTTTGCTAATAAATAATATAATAAAAATTATAACAAATATTTTGAAAAATATTTTAAAAATAAATGTTTTTATTTTTCGGCTATTCATAGCCGAAAAGTTCGATAAATTAATTTAAAAAAAATTTTTTTTACTTGTACCAACTCCTTATAAGGTTCAAAATAAGTGATAAACTCACTCGAAATTTTTGAAACTGAAAAATTTCTTTAAAGATTTTATTAGTAGATATTTATTTACATATTTTTATTGTTGTCAACCACAAATAATATAGTTTCACACATTTTTATTTTTCATATCGTGAACAAAATTATCAATAAATAATAATTTAAAAAATAAAATTTTTAAATATCATTAAAATCAATTTTAATCCACCTGATAATAATAGTCTTACCTTCCGAAATTTTCCCCATCTTCAATAGAATCCGGTAATCTTTCATTGAGTGTTTCAGGCAAAAATAATGATAATAATCCAGCACATAATGCTAGTGTTCCATAAAGAACACGTGGAAAGGGAAACCAAATTTGTCCCTAAAGTAGAAAAATAAAAAAATTAAAAATTAATTTCACGACAAAAAAAATTCCAAAATTCGACAATTTCAAATTTTAATTCGTTTTTTTAATTACAACTCGTTTTTACTAGCCTTTTAATTATAATTTTTAAAACATTTTTCTTGACTAAAATACTGTATTTTTAGACAAAAAAAAAATTGTAATTTAATTGAAGAAAAAAAAGTGAATTATAAAAATACTTACAAGTCCATTAATTTGTGGTGCAAAAACACCTCCGAGTTTTGCGAATGTGGAACAAACACCAAGACCAACATTTCGAACAACTGTTGGAAATTGTTCAGTCGTAAAAATATAAATACAACCGTAAGATGCTGTAATTGATAATTTGGCAAGCATATAAAATGTAATAGCCAACCAGCTCATATCTGAAAATAATATATTTTTTTGATAAATATTATCATTTAATTAATATTTCATTTTAAATCAATCAGAGTAGAAAAAAATGTATTGAAAAATTAGTATTAATATTTTTAATCAAAATGTTGGATTAACTAAAAATCCCTATAAAGTACAATTATTTTTTTTTTTGACAGAATTATAAAGTTAATTACATAATTATTTTTCAACAGTGCCTGGCGTACGGACACATAGGAAGAGTTTGGTAAGGCAGTGGACAAATCAACTGCATGCTTTAAATGCAATGAAGTCGATCATAAGTTTGCAAACTGCAGTAGAAAACCCAAGTTGCTTATTATGTAGAGAAAAGTATGTCAATAAGGCGAACATTAGCTAAGAAAACTCGCACGAACGAAGAATAAATAGGCCAGAAAGATCGGACATGGGTCGCAAAAGCGAGATCCCAAGGAACTTCACCTACGAAGTTTAAAGCTTGACGATAGTTCCATTGTAACGAATGTAAATAATAAAATATGCGGATTAGCTCGCCGGATCTAATTTTAAAAAGAAGAAGTTTTACATAGAGTTACAAATTATCGAAAATTTATTATTTACACTTGATAAAATTTTATTTACAAACTAAAAGAAATAAACAACATTTACAACTATATTAATTACGTTGAACAGAACGCAAATAATTATCGAGGGGTGTTGCGAGTTTCTTAAAAAAAAGCGATCGTTTCGACTAGCGCGTAATTCGGTCAAAAAAGGGATTTTATTCTTTTTGGAATCGTATTTAAAAATTATAAGAAATACGAGGGAAATAAGGAATTCTTTACGCTATCATTGAGTGAAACTCAAAATAAGTGAGACTTAGTTTGAATAATCGTTGTCGTCGCTGTCGTTGACTCTTTCGTATTCGTAGCTATAAGTGAAGCATCTACCGTGCGTTGGTCTTCGTCCGGAGCTCTCGATCCCTAGAGTAAGACTCTAGTCTAAAGTCGATGAGTAAAACTCAGCGAATGAATTTTTAGCTTCGAAACGCCGATTTATATACCCGCTCGTGGGACGATCGTTGGAGGGAGAAATAGACAAATCTGCGCGGAGCTACTCTGATTTTGACTAGGCGACGCGCATCTTCGGTGGGGGAAGTCTCGCAGCCGTTCCGTGATGGGAGCTTAAGGTCTTTCTTTAACGTCCGTGCGTTTCATTTAGTCTTTTCGTTTTACATTTTTAGTCTTAGTATAATGATCTGTCACTGTTCGTGGTTTCTTATATCACAAGATTGTTATATTCTTACACCATAGTGTTAGGATTAGTCCAGCCAAAGAGTGTAGTTTTTAGTGGGTCGACCAGAACAAGAAAAAAAAATACAAAAAATTGATTCTATCAGTATCAAAAATATTTTGTTTTTGCTAAAATCAACATCTAAAAATTAATTTGAACTTTTTTATTTTATTCCACTGTTTCTCGTGCCCCCTTAAGCAAATTGTTAGGCCCAAAATATTAATTTTGTCAGAAATTTTTAATTATTAAGTAGATTAATCTAAGATAATAATTTACCTATAGGTACAGCTATCATAAGTAGTAAAAATGATCCTGCGGTTATCATAGAACCACATAGAATGGCTTTCCTACCCCATCGATTTAAGGTACACATAAGAAAAATATAAGCAGGTACTTCAACAGCCGCTGACATAAAATAAGTTGCAAATTCATTATCACTGAGATTTGCAGCTCCCCAAGAAAGACCATAATAAGTACCACTATTTATCAGCCTGTAAATTAATTAATATTACACAAAATTTTTTTATTATTATTATTGTCTCCATTTTTTTTGTAGAAACAAATATTCAAAAATTTTGTTACCAACCAATTGCAACACAATAGTAAAGTTTTTCGTCTTAAATTTGGATATCGCATGAGATCAAGAACAGAAGGTGTTTTTATATTTGCTGTTGAATCAGCTTCCTTTTGCATTAAAAGCATTTCCATTGTTTCATCAGAAATATCCTTGCCATTTATTTTTGCTGCCTTTTGCAATAAAGCTTTTGCTTCTTCTTTACGATCTTTGGTCAATAACCATCGACATGATTCGGGAATAAACCTAAAAAAAAAATAGTTTTTCGTATAAATAATTATGAGTATATAAAAATTACACTGTTTTTCGTTTTCCGAACTAATCCAGATTAATCTATTCGTGGATTTGGAATCAGTCTGAAATTTTAATTATTTAATGTCAAAATTTTGACACATACCAATAATATGCTAAAAATAATACACTTGGAAGTACAAGAGACAGTTGTAGTGTCCTCCAGTCTCGGATGAAGTAAGCGAAAAGTCCAGTTGTAAAATAACCAACTGTGAAAAATATATTAACACCTACACCGGCAAACATTCTTTTCTTTGGTCCGACCATTTCGAGAGCTGTAAAAATAATTAAGATTTTTAATTAAAAAAAAAAATTAGAGCAAATTGTTTAGAATTGAGAATAAAAAAAAAAAATTTTATTACCAATTACATAAGCAACAATGAAAACGCCACTGGTTGTAGAACCAAGAATTGCTCTGAATACAACAAATGTGGGAAAATTTGGTGCTACACCCACTATAACACCTGAGACTAATTGAATAAGTAAACAAATTATAAACGTTGGTTTACGTCCAATTTTATCGGATAAATAACCAAATATCATAGAGCCGAACATTACTCCTATCATAAAGGCAGAATCTCCCGTTGATATCCACCATGAAGAATCGCATACCAAGTTCCACTAAAAAGAAATTTTTTTTTAATTTATCTCCATTGAAAGTACACGGTGCGCCAGAAGATGAATTAAATAAAAATGAATGGTCACTTAAAAATTCTTTTTGATTATTTATTTATTTATTTATTTATTGATACTCCACCGCCCCACAGTGGGAAAAAAAATGACCCTCTGTGGACAAAAATCTACCGACAACACAAATCTTAACCGATTTTAATATTTTTTTTTAAAAATACTCGGAGAGGTTTTTCCTGTAACGCATAACTGCGATAAATTTGATTTATTTCAAACTAACCTTAAAAATGATACCTATATTTGAAATTACGTTATTAGGATGGTTTAAAAAATGAAAAAATGATTAATTTTGATACAGCAGAGAGTATTGTGAACCCTTTTTGATCACTGAATGCGAATTTGACATTAAAATTGCAAAATTTTAAAATTCAAAATGGCGGATGCAATATGGCAGGCAATGTTTTATAAATGTCACCAAATTCAATCGAAAGTTGTTATTCAGGTGTTTTTAAGGTCGCTGGTTACGAATCTGAAGTCTGATTTCAAAAATTCAAAATGGCGGATCCAATATGGCGGATTAAAAAATTAAAAACTCATTGAATTTGCATGAAATTTGTTACTTGGAGGTTTTTGGGGTCGCAGATTACGAATCTGAAGTCAAATTTCAAAAATTCAAAATGGCGGATGAGAAAATCAAAAACTAATTGGATTTGCTTGAAAGTTGTTACCCTGGGGTTTTTGGGGTCGCTGATTACGAATCTGAAGTCTAATTTAAAAAGTTCAAAATAGTATTAGATTAGAGTATTATATTATTATTAGATTATTAGTATTAGATCTGCCATCTCAAATTTAAAAAATTCGACTACAGATTTGTAATCAGCGAACCCAAAAACCTCCAAGTAACAACTTTCAAGCAAATTCAATTTGTTTTTAATTTTTAAATTCGCTATATTGGATCCGCCATTTTGAATTTTTCAAATTAAACTTCAGATTCGTAATCAGCGACCCCAAAAACCCCAGGGTAACAACTTTCAAGCAAATCCAATTAGTTTTTGATTTTCCCATCCGCCATATTGGATCCGCCATTTTGAATTTTTGAAATTTGACTTCAGATTCGTAATCAGCGACCCCAAAAACCTCCAAGTAACAACTTTCATGCAAATTCAATGAGTTTTTTTTTTTTTAATCCGCCATTTTGAATTTTTGAAATCAGACTTCAGATTCGTAATCAGCGACCTTAAAAACCCCTGAATAACAACTTTCGAGTGAATTTGGTGACTTTTATAATTATAATTTTTTATTTAATCTAATAAATACTGTAATAAATGATAAAATAATTACTTATTTTCAATTTTACATATAAATAATTATATTGCTGTAGTGTTTGTGTCCGATTTAAAAAAATAAATTATAATGTTAAAAGAACGATTTTAAGAGTGACAAAATTTATTTAAGAGAGTCGAATGATCTCTGAAATTTTTTGGCAAGAAGAGACCTTTAATTATCGCTCTATAAAAACGGCACTAAACGTGAAAATGATAAACATTGATTTTAAAATACTTTCTTCTCGAAAGACGGACACTTTTTACAAAAGCAGCTAGAGATCGTTATCTTATATAAATTTCCTAAATCTTAAAGATTATACAAATCCATACAAAAACACGATTGCAAAACGAAAAGTAATATAATGACAGGTACATTACTTCCTGCCGCCGTCAGATGGCAGCACCATGCAGGGCGCACAAAGTCGCAGCTGTTATTAGATTACTTTTCTACTTTTTGTTTTGCAACCATGTTTTTCTATGGATTCGTACAGTGTCTTTTGGATTGAGAAAATTTCTAAGATGAGGATTTTGGCTGATTTTGTTAAAAGTGTTCGTGTTTCGAGAAAAAAGTATTTTAAAATCAATACTATTTCACGTTCAGAGCGATAATTAAAGCTCTCTTCTTGCCTAAGAATTTCAGATACCGTTCGACACTCTTAATGCATAAATATAAAAACGAAACAAGAAAATAACTTCATTGTTAATAAATTTATATGAACCCAAATCTAAAACATCTATTATCTATACGCATATAAGTATACATTAAATAAATTCTGGTTCCTCATAAAATACTATTTTTAAATATTTAAAACTCAATTTGTTTTAAATTGGGCACTTAAGCTGATTTTAAAACCTATTGAGAAAAGTTTTTTTTATTCATCTTAAAACCATAATGAAAAAAAATTTTTAAGTGCCAATTCATTTTTATTTAAACCTCCTTCTGGCGCACCGTGAGTATAGAAATTAAGATTTCAAAAATTTTGCCTCAGAGTTTTGTTTTTGGGGCAACTTTTTTTTGTAGGAAAACAATATTAGTAAATTAAAAAAAAATTATTACTTTTGATGCAACTGTACTTGTATATCGGCTATTGTCATAAATATAATTTTCACATGTTCTTTCTTCTTTTTTTCGTGTACTATTGGCATGAATTGAATAATATTCCTCTAAAGTCGTTGCATTTGTTGAATTTCGATTATAATAGAAACGACACTGTGAGGGTCTTTCTTTTTTTGTATTAGTTGCTGCATGTTTTGGAAATAGCATATCAACATATCCATCCGGCAATTGATAAGTTGCATTTGTAAAATTTTCCACTGGCAAAATACATCTAAAAAAATTTTTTTTATTTTTTCAAATTTTATCAATATATCGGCTTAGATAATAATTTTGAAACACTCAAATTTTGTCCCATATTACCCCTGTAATTGAGGTAAGTTTAAAACAATTTATTGTTTCGATTCTAAAAACAATTATCCAACGAAATAAATTATAATTGTTTTTATATAATCGAAATAATAAATTTGTTCTGAACTTACCCCAATCACAGGGGTAATATGAGACAAAACTTAAGTTTAAATAGTTCAAAAAAAAATTTATTTTCAATGTGAATACTTTCAAAATAATACGTTATTTATTATATAAATTTTAAATAATATTTTAATTAAAAAATTATAATTAGAAATTAAAATTGAAAAAAATTTACCTGAAATCAGGAGCAGTTTCAAGAAAAACTCCTGACATTTTGTGAATGGCGCAAAAAATTGCCGGAATACATAATAAAAAGTATATTTTTCGTTGATAGCGACCAAATTCACCCATTAAAATAATGACGTCGTCGTAAGCCATTTTTTATAAATTATATAATAACTAGAGTTTTTTTTTTTTTAATATTATTTGACTATACTTAAATCAAAATCGTCAAAATTTTTTTCGCCGAGGAGACAATTATTAGTTGATTAGATATATAAAGAAAAACTCTTATGAAGAATTTCTTCTGTAATTCCACAGCCTAAATGATCCGCACTTTTGGCCTACAACTGACAAGATTTAATTTAGTGTTAACGACTTATGATTAAAATTCTAATTTCAGTTTGAGATAAATAAAAATGTTTTCTCTTTTTTTCTTTAACCGAGATTATACCAATTTTATTTACTCAATGTTTTTTATTATTATTATTATTATTATTATTAAATATTATAATTTTTCATCTTATAAATTTTCTTTTTTTATGTTATATATAAATATATAATAATAATAATAATAATAATAGTAATAATAATAATAATTGCTTTAAATAAATTTATTTTCATCTTTTTGCAATGACCGTTGAATTTATTTAAAAATAAATAATTAAAATTTAAAGAATTATTATGCATCGAAACAATGTTTGTAATAAATTTCGCAACTTTTATTCCAATAAAATGTCTTTATTTAATTAACTGAATTACATCAGCGATAAGAATTATTTCAACATGTACATATATTAATACTTCCTCATATATAGAAGAAGGGCATGTATCTTTCAATGTAATCGTTCAACCTTAACAAGATACATGTTTTGCATTTTAATTTTTCTTTTTTCATAAAATCTACTTTGCAAATATTTAAAAATCTTCTGATATGATGAAAATGTAAAAAAAAAATTTTTAACATTTTTTGTTTATGAAATTATTTTAAAAATAGAAAAAAAATTTTTAACTAAAACATTTCTAAATAAAAAATGACTTTTTAAAAAAAAGATGAGTATAGCTAAAATATTTAAAAATATTTTTTTATTATAAAATTCTTTTCAATTACCAAAATATATATTATGCATTTTTTAATAAAATATTTCTTTATTCAAAAAAATACATTTTTATTATTTTTTACAAATATAATTATTAAAAAGATATTTTTAAATTTAATACAACATAAAAAAATCAATTCTTAAAATTTTTAAATTACATTTAAAATAATTTTATTTTTAAAAAATATGATTTTTAGTAAAGACTATTTTTTGTTGCAAATTAAAAAAAAAGAAATCTCTATGAGAAAACATAATGACAAAATGAATGAAAAAATAAAATTAACAGTAACGATACTTTTTTTTTATAATTCCTGATTTGTAAAAAATATAAATGACAATTATTTTTCTCTTTTAATAAAATTTTAAAAAAAAATTAATTTATTAAATCCTTTACAAATTAAATAAAAATTATTCTTTTCTTTAAATTACGAGAAAATAAAAATTAATTACTATTGATGAAAATTTTTTAGCGTTTTTATGCTTATTATTCATTTTTTTAAAAAAATTATTTATAATAATTATTCACTTTTTATTTACATTTACTTTTTATTATTATTTATTTATTTGCAATTATTTACTTTTTATGATTATTTATTTATTTGCAATAATTATTTACTTTTTATTTTACAGAAATATTTATTTTGAAATTTCTTCTAAAATTTTCAAAATTTCAATTTTTATTAAATTCAAGGACAGAAAAAAAAATATTTCTAATCCCTCAAGTTATTATCTTACTAACAAAATATTTAAAGTCAGCTATAAAATTTTTGTCTAATGTGCACAAATTAAATTAAATATATATTTAATATTTAAATAAAAATTATATTTATTATTTAAAAAATAAAATAACTGAAAAAGATTTATTTAATAAAAAGAAAACTAAAATAATAAAATTTACTAGAAAACTGCTTTTTTTTCTTATTTAAGATGATTTTCATATATTAAAATCAAATTTAAAAAATCAAACAAATTATTGTTGAAATAATACAAAAATTTTATTATTATTTATTATTCACAATTTTTCTGTAAAGTTCATTTTTTTTTTGCAAAAATCCATTTGTATAAATTTATGCAAAAATTTTTTTTTTTAAATTTGCACACATTTAAATTTATTGAATAATGAAAACTTTCTATTTTTTTATATTGAATTATTATATTATTTTATTTATATTTATTAAATTATTTTTTAAAAAAAAATCTCTTTTATGATTATAGTAACCGGCAAATTTGTTTACCTCTATATTTAAAACTGAATGAAAAGATGTCGGTAAATTTAAATTTCTTTTAAAAAATATTCCTTATTGTTGAGAAAATAGTTTTAACTATAATTATTTATATTCCAAAATAACAAATATAAATTAACAAACACACACACACACACACACTTTTCACAAAAAACACACGACACGCGTATATTGACAAAAATACATAAATCTATTGAATAGGAATGATATAATATATAAAACTAAGTAACTAACGTCAAGCTGACGCAACTTATACTATACTTGTAACCGTGCTTAAACCCCACTTGTACCTTTCGGGGAGAAGATGATTCGGTAAAAGTTCCTGGGATTGGTTTCATTTCAGTGGTGCTATTTCCCCCACCACTTTCAATATTCATATTTACTCAGGTGAAATAGTAATTAAAATTTAGAATTTAATTTTTTCATTAAATTCATTAATTATTAATTACTAATTACAAAATAGTAATTAATAAAAATTATTTTATTACTTATGAATTAATATGATTTTTAAGAATTTTTATATAATTCGTAAAAAAAATTAAATACATTAATCACAATAATTTATAGCGATGACATTTGATAATAGAAAAGTAGGATAGAATACTTTTTGAAATATTGCAAAAAGTTTTTATATTATTATTATACAGTCTTCTTCAGATCTTCTTCAATTCAATTATTTAACAAATTTTGAACTAAATTGATTCTTCACTAAAATAATTATTTTTAATAATTTTAATGAAATACATCACAATTTCAATTATATCAAAATTATTTTTCAATTAAAATTTTTATGAAATTTAACAATTGTTTAAAATTTAAAAAAAAATCACAATAAAATTGAATTATTTTTAAAAAATTTCAATTCAAAATAAACTAAAATTCAATTATTACCCGAAATTTTAAGTCAAAATCAATTAAAAATCCAATAATTATCCAAAATTTTCAATTTAAAATTTAATTATTTACCAAGTTTTCAATTTAAAATGAAATAAAATTCAATTATTTTCTAAAATTTCTATTCAAAATTAATTATCCAAATTTTCAATCAAAAATGAACTTAAATTAAATTATTATCCAAAATTTCAATTAAAATTCAATTATTTTCCAAAATTTTCAATTTAAAATGAACTGAAATTCAATTATTTTCCAAATTTAAAATCAAATAAAATTTTATTATTCTCGAAAATTTGCATTCAAAATAAACTAAAATTCAATTATTACCCGAAATTTTAATTCAAAATCAATTAAAAATCCAATAATTATCCAAAATTTTCAATTTAAAATTTAATTATTTACCAAGTTTTCAATTTAAAATGAAATAAAATTCAATTATTTTCTAAAATTTCTATTCAAAATTAATTATCCAAATTTTCAATCAAAAATGAACTTAAATTAAATTATTATCCAAAATTTCAATTAAAATTCAATTATTTTCCAAAATTTTCAATTTAAAATGAACTGAAATTCAATTATTTTCCAAATTTAAAATCAAATAAAATTTTATTATTCTCGAAAATTTGCATTCAAAATAAACTAAAATTCAATTATTACCCGAAATTTTAATTCAAAATCAATTAAAAATCCAATAATTATCCAAAATTTAAAATCTTAAATTTAATTATTTACCAAGTTTTCAATTTAAAATGAAATAAAATTCAATTATTTTCTAAAATTTCTATTCAAATTTCAATTCAAAATCAACTAAAATTCAATTATTTTCAAAAATTTCAATCCAAAATTAACAAAAATTTAATTATTTTCCAAAATATCAATTGAAAATAAATTATTTTCAAAATTTTCAATTCAAAATAAACTAAAATTCAATTATTTTCAAAATTTTCAATTCAAAGTCAACTAAAATTCAATTATTTTCAAAAATTTCAATTCACAATAAACTACAATTCAATTATTTTCCAAATTTCAACTGAAATTTAATTATTTTCAAAAGTTTCAATCCTAAATCAACTAAAATTCAATTGTTTTAAAAATTTTCAATTTCAATTTAATTAGTTTCATAAATTTCAATTTAAAATAAACTAAAATTCAATTATTACCAGAAATTTTAATTCAAAATCAATTAAAAATCCAATAATTATCCAAAATTTTCAATTTAAAATTTATTATTTACCAAGTTTTCAATTTAAAATGAAATAAAATTCAATTATTTTCAAAATTTTCAATTCAAAGTCAACTAAAATTCAATTAATTTCAAAAATTTCAATTCACAATAAACTACAATTCAATTATTTTCCAAATTTCAACTAAAATTTAATTATTTTCAAAATTTACAATCCTACATCAACTAAAATTCAATTGTTTTAAAAATTTTCAATTTCAATTTAATTAGTTTCATAAATTTCAATTCAAAACCAACTAAAATTCAATTATTTTCCGAGTTTTCAATTCAAAATAAACTAAAATTCAATTATTTTCTTAAAATTGTGGTTTTTATATTAACTGATATTCAATTATTTTCAAAATTTTAATTAAAATTCAATTATTTCCTAAAAATTTTCAATTTAAAATCAAATAAAATTTAATTATTCTCAAAAATTTGAATTAAAATTTAATTGAATATTCAATAATTTAAATTTCAAAGCTTCTAAAATTTAATTGTTTCTAAAATTTTCCATCGAAAATTTTTTTTGTTGAAATTTAATAATTTCAATTATAACTCTAAGGAAATTCAATTATTTTTAACTATTTTAATAATATTCTTTGAAAATTCAACTATCTGAAACCATTTTTCAATTAAAATTGATTTTCAAATTATTGTATTTTGTCCGCATTTTCTAATAAATTTTTAGTGAAATCATCTAAAATTTTAATTACAAAACACTTAAACAATTAATTTTAAAAATCTCAATTTTAAATCTTTGAAAATTCAATTAAATTTAAAAAATGTTTTCCAAAAATAGTTTGATAAATTATTTTTAGTTCTGTAAAATTGAATAATTGTTTGAAAATTAACAATATCTTTTGAAATTTAATTATTTCTAAAAATTGCAACTTTAACCCTTCGAAAAGGATTATTATTAAAGAAAAAAAATTTTTAATTAAAAATCTGTAAAATATTTTTGTTAAAATAAAAAACAAATCCACTTTTTTTTGGAATATAAATCGACTAAAACGACTTTTTGTGTCTTTAAGTTGATTTGAGGCCTGTGTTTTTATAATTAATATTTAATAGGTATTCGTTGGCCCCTGGTACCTTAAAAATTAATTTTGAAAAATAAATTTTTTTCAAATTACTATCTTGTACGAAATTTTCTGGCACATCTTTTTTCTCATCATAAATTTTTTGTATTTGTATAGAATTTTTGAATGAATATACAACTTTAAAAAAAATTTCGTTGGTAAACGTTGTTTACTTCAGCTTCGTGAATTGAATTTTGGAATTTGGAATTTTAAAGAAACTTATTCCGAAATTTGGAAACACAATTATACAACTTTGGCAAAAATGAGAAAAAGAATTGTCAAAATTTGACACGTCATAAGATTACTATTCAAAAAAACACGCGAAATCAGAAAAGGCCAACTTCAAGTTAGGACAGAAGGACAGACCAAGCATTTTATTATTATATAATTAGTTTTATAGTTTTTATATCAAAAATTTCATAGATAGAATTTTTTTTAATCGAATCTTCATTTTAGAAATTTGAATTTAATTCATTATTTGACCGAAATTAAAAAATAACCGAACAAACAACGGATCGAAAAATTTTTGCGCTAATTTTGAAATTGACCAATCACAATTTTCTTTATTTTTGTTTGGTCAATTTTAAAAATCGCGCCAAAATCTTTTGCCACCAATGAAAATTCTGTTAAATAAATAATCGGCGAAATAAATTTTTTTTTTAAATATACAAATTTAAGTTAATTTAAATTCAACTGAACAATAAATTTGAGAAATAAAAAATAAAAACACTTTTATAATTAATGAAATTTTATGTCACATAAAAATTATTTTTTTCTTTATTAAAATCATTCGAAAAATGAACCACAACAACTTTGTATGCAATATAATTTACTGGTTCCTATTTTTCATCTTTTCAAAAAAAAAAAAATTCTCATTTATTAATTGTTCGAACTAAATAAATAAAGGATAATAATTATAATTCCACAATAAAATATTTTACCACGTCAGTTTTAAAGTAGAAAAAAAATAATTTTTCATATTATGATTAAAGATAAATTTTCTTAAAATGTTATTTTAATTACATTCGTTAAATGTCTTAAATACCTTTCTTAATGTCTTCAAATATGTTATCAGTTTTTAATTATATTTCTTATCAAATTGTAAGTAAACTTTGTAAAATTTTGTATTGTTCAGTTTTTCAAAAAAAAAAATATATTACAGCTATTATTTAATTAATTTATCTCATTATTACATAATATTCGCAATATTTGACTAAATTTATCAAAAAAAAAAAAATTCAATTGCAAATTTTTTTTTCAGTTATACCTAGTTTTAAAAATTATATTCAATATGAATTTCCAAATACTTTATTATAATGATAAAGTTTTAATATCTTTAATTCATATTTATTTTGTTATGTAAAATTATCTAGAGAATAAAATGTGTCTAGAAAATTATAAACTTCATTGGATGTTGAAGCTAAAATATTTATATTTATTTAACACAATAATAAAAAAAATTAATATATATATATATTGAATATCTTTATTTATTTTCTTCTTTTTTACATTGGATAAAAAACAATTTAAAAAATACACTTTTTTTTGTTCGTTTTAAATTATACATTATTTAAAATACAATCGTAAGACTATCTAATAAATGAAATTAAATAAAATTTTCATATATTATATTCTGATATAACATATTATCTTACACGTCGTTGACAAACGAATATCGACAATGATAATAAAATGAATACTGTAATAATTAATAAATTGATTTGCACAAGTATCAATATACTTTCTGTTAAACATTTGGTCAAATCTCTAAAAAAAGAAATTAATATTCCTTATATTTTTTACTAAAAAAAATTTTTTTTTAATTTCCAATCAATATTGTCACCATTTTTAAATCTTAATTTCAAATATTAAATTTCAAATATTTTAATTAATTAAAAGTTCTCGTACTGAAATTTTGCTAAATTATTCACATATATCGAAGTAAAATATCTGTAAAATTTTAACTAATTTAAATAAAATCTGTAAAAGAATGAGATTGTTTAATATATTATAATATTTTAAAAATGTCTATAATTTTTATAAAAAAAAAAAATATATTGATACTTGAAAGAAAAAATTACAACTATCTTTTTTGTTTTAATACTAATTCAAAAAAATTAACCTACTTATTTTGTATAAAAAATTGAATTTGGCACATTTATTCCTTATAATATATTTAGAGGCAAAACAAAAACTGTACACTCTCACTTTTAATATTAATACTCTTTTTTTTTGGATGAGGAATGTCCTAAGTACTTTTTTTTTGCATAACTAATTTATATATTAATAATTATTATTAACATTATGCTATATTTCCATTTAGATTGTCATCGACACCTTTCTTCGTAGGCGTTAACGATTGTAGTGACACATTTTTCGTTTGTCTGAAATTTAAAAATTAGAGTAATAAGTAAAAAATTTTATTTTTCATTTTTTTGAAATATTTCAAAAAAAACAACTTCCTTTTGGAAAAATTTTAAGCCTGCTCTCGTAGTTGGGAAACAATTTTTTTTTTCAATTTTAACGGAATTTTTAAAAATTTTCAAAATGTAAAAATATTTAATTTTTCTATTTTTAATTTTTATAATTTTTCATGGCAAATATTGCATAAATATTTTATTTACAAAAGGGAGCAATTAATTTTTCCTAACAATTGTTTGTTTATAAAAAAAACAGATGAAATTAAAAAATATTAAAATAAATTTTTTCTGGTAAAATTTCTATAGTTGAAACAAAATATAAGACACACGTACTAGAATTAAAAATAAATTAAAATATTATTAAGACCAATATAATATATATATAAGATTTCAGTGGGGTCGAAAATAAATTAGAAATTTATCTCATTTTTGTCCATATAATAATTATAATTCGTTTTAACTTCAATTAAAATTTCTAATCGATTTCTTAAATACAATTTTTAATATAGTTTTTCAATTCTTTTATGTTACAAATAAACTAGGTAATAATAATTAAAGATAAAAATTTATAAAATTTTCAGTTTTCGAATTAGCAATTTGACAAAATTTCTTTTTAAAACAAATTTTTACTTAACAAAATTTTTAGGTAATTTTTATTAGATAGAAATTTTATTTTACATAATTTTTCAATTCACAAAACTTTAATTTATTCTACTTTTTATTTACACACATTTTTTAATTTTGATAGAATTCTTAAAACGGCGAATTTTTATTTTTGTCCGAAATTCCAAATGACCGAATAAATTGCGCGATTTTTAAAATTGACCAATCACAATTTTCTTACTCATTTCTGATTATGGTCAATTTTTAAAATCGAGCTCAAATAATAATAAAATAAAAAAAAAACGAATAAAAATTCGATAATTTTTAAATGGAAACCACAAAAAAATTCCAACAAATTTAATGTGGGGAATAATCTTATGTGTTCCATTTGAAACAAATCGAAGAACAAATGTTTCTTTTTATAGCAAAAAGCGAGTTAAAAAAACTTACCTTCCAAAATTTTCTCCCTCTTCAATAGTATCTGGTAATCTTTTATTAAGAGTTTCAGGTAATAAAAGTGTTATCAGTCCGGCACAAAGTGCAAGTGTCCCATAAAATACATGTGGAAAGGGAAACCAAATTTCTCCCTGAAATATACATGTAATTTTTTATATTTTTATTGTATTTAAAATTCTATTTCAAAAACATTAGGATACGAATTACTTTAAAAAATAGAAAAATGAGAGGAAAAATTACTCACCGTGCGCCAGAAGGTGTTTTAAATAAAAATGAATTGGCATTTAAAAATTCTTTTTCATTATGATTCTTAGATGAATAACAAACATTTCTCAATAGGTTTTAAAATCAGTTTACGTGCCCGATTTAAATAAAATTGAGTTTTTATATAAAAACAGTGTTTTATGGGGAATCAGAATTTATTTAATCTAATAAATACTGTAATAAATGATAAAATAATTACTTATTTTCAATTTTACATATAAATAATTATATTGATGTAGTGTTTGTGTCCGATTTTAAAAAATTAAATTATAATGTTAAAAGAACGATTTTAAGAGTGACAAAATTTATTTAAGAGAGTCGAATGATCTCTGAAATTTTTTGGCAAGAAGAGACCTTTAATTATCGCTCTACATAAAAACGGCACTAAACGTGAAAATGATAAACATTGATTTTAAAATACTTTCTTCTCGAAAGACGGACACTTTTTACAAAAGCAGCTAGAGATCGTTATCTTATATAAATTTCCTAAATCCTAAAGATTATACGAATTCATACAAAAACACGATTGCAAAACAAAAAGTAATATAATGAGGGGTTCATTACCTCCTGCCGCCGTCAGATGGCAGCAGCATGCAGGGCGCACAAAGTCGCAGCTGTTATTAGATTACTTTTCTACTTTTTGTTTTGCAACCATGTTTTTCTATCGATTCGTACAGTCTTTTGGATTTAGGAAATTTATAAGATGAGGATTTTGGCTGATTTTGTTAAAAGTGTTCGTGTTTCGCGAAAAAAGTATTTTAAAATCAATACTATTTCACGTTCAGAGCGATAATTAAAGCTCTCTTCTTGCCAAAGAATTTCAGATACCGTTCGACACTGTTAATGCATAAATATAAAAACGAAACAAGAAAATATCTTCATTGTTAATAAATTTATGGGGGATCTCGGGTGAAGTGATCAAAGTAAAAAAAAATTTTGTCTCAATTTCGCTCAAACTGGAGTAATTTGTACTTCTATTGGGTGGTAATTTATCGTAAAAAAATTTTTCAATTTGGACCAATATTTACTCGGGGGGAGGGGGTTGAAGTTTATGGGTAGCGTTTTCTTTAATAATTTTTTTTTCTTGAGTATCAAAAAAAAAAATTTTTATCAACATCAGTTTCGATAGCTTTTTTAATGCTCTTTCGATTGAGGACATGCATTTTTGAAAAAAAAAATTTTTGAACCAAAAAAAATTAATTTCAAAATTTTTTTTGACTTTTTCGGGGTAAAAGGTACGATTTTTTTTTTTTTTTTTTTTTTTTAAAGGAAAGCTGAGATTTTTTCCTGTAGGGACATGTAGTTGAAAAAATGGGACAAGAAAGATTAAACCTTGAAAATTAACATTTTTTATTCACTTTAGCGCTGCGCTGCGATCTACCACGTGACACATTAGTAGTATGGTATTTGGAGAGAAACATTAATGCTCTCTGCATTTTACAGGGTTAAAACTGTTATTGAGTAAATACCTGTATTTCATCAACGTTTAAATTTGGATAATAATAAATGAATAATAATTATATAAAGTGGAATCTTGGAAATTATAAAATCGGTTCAAAAATAAATGTAGCATACTAATAAGAGTTTACTTTATTATAGTAATCAGTCTTATCAAATAAATACTCATTTATATCAATTCATCATTCATTTGGTTATTAATTTATCCATTTATTCGAATATTTGACTGCAATGAGTCTTTATTTGACTAAGAAATAATATAAAATGAATATTTTTTTCATTAAAGTTTTCTTCATAATTCATTACTTACATTATTCTTGATGGAGACGACTGCTTTTCCCCGAAAGGACAAAACGTCGAATAGCAAAACGTCGAATGGACAAAATATCGAAAAGCCAAACTGTCGAATGGACAAAATGTCGAAAAGTCAAGACGTCGCATAGTCAAAACGTCGAAAGGTCAAAATGTCGAAAAGCCAAACTGTCGAATGGACAAAATGTCGAAAAGTCAAGACGTCGCATAGTCAAAACGTCGAATAGTCAAAACGTCGAAAGGTCAAAATGTCGAAAAGCCAAGACATCGAATGGACAAAATGTCGAAAAGCCAAAACGTCGAACGGACAAAATGTCAAATAGCCAAAACATCGAACGGACAAAATATCGAATCGCCAAGACGTCGAAAGGACAAAATGTCGAATAGCCAAAACGTCGAATAGCCAAAATGTCGAAAAGCCAAGACGTCGAAAAGTCAAAACTGCGAATGGACTAAATGTCGAAAAGTCAAGACGTCAAATGGTCAAAATGTCGAATGGACAAAATATCGAGACGTTATTTTGCTCTGAGTTTCCCTTCTATATAATGCACACTAGTTTAACTGCTTAAAATTAAAAGTTTGTATTATTATTATTATTATTATTATACTATAATAATTACTTTACTACTACTACTATTATTATTATTATTATTATTATTATAAAAAAAATGTAAAAAAAACATTAAAAACAATACAACTAGCGATATCTATCGAGTGTTAAACGCAACACAAACTAGTGTGCATTATATAGAAGGGAAACTCAGAGCAAAATAACGTCTCGATATTTTGTCCATTCGACAGTTTGACCATTTGACGTCTTGACTTATCGACATTTGGTCCATTCGCAGTTTTGACTTTTCGACGTCTTGGCTTTTCGACATTTTGGCTATTCGACGTTTTGGCTATTCGACATTTTGTCCGTTCGACGTCTTGGCGATTCGATATTTTGTCCGTTCGATGTTTTGGCTATTTGACATTTTGTCCGTTCGACGTTTTGGCTTTTCGACATTTTGTCCATTCGATGTCTTGGCTTTTCGACATTTTGACCTTTCGACGTTTTGACTATTCGACGTTTTGACTATGCGACGTCTTGACTTTTCGACATTTTGTCCATTCGACAGTTTGGCTTTTCGACATTTTGACCTTTCGACGTTTTGACTATGCGACGTCTTGACTTTTCGACATTTTGTCCATTCGACAGTTTGGCTTTTCCATATTTTGTCCATTCGACGTTTTGCTATTCGACGTTTTGTCCATTCGACATTTTGTCCTTTCGGGACAAAATTAATAACCAAATGAATGATGAATTGATATAAATGAGTATTTATTTGATAAGACTGATTACTATAATAAAGTAAACTCTTATTAGTATGCTACATTTATTTTTGAACCGATTTTATAATTTCCAAGATTCCACTTTATATAATTATTATTCATTTATTATTATCCAAATTTAAACGTTGATGAAATACAGGTATTTACTCAATAACAGTTTCAACCCTGTAAAATGCAGAGAGCATTAATGTTTCTCTCCAAATACCATACTACTAATGTGTCACGTGGTAGATCGCAGCGCAGCGCTAAAGTGAATAAAAAATGTTAATTTTCAAGGTTTAATCTTTCTTGTCCCATTTTTTCAACTACATGTCCCTACAGGAAAAAATCTCAGCTTTCCTTTAAAAAAAAAAAAAAAAAAAAAAATCGTACCTTTTACCCCGAAAAAGTCAAAAAAAATTTTGAAATTAATTTTTTTTGGTTCAAAAATTTTTTTTTTTTCAAAAATGCATGTCCTCAATCGAAAGAGCATTAAAAAAGCTATCGAAACTGATGTTGATAAAAATTTTTTTTTTTGATACTCAAGAAAAAAAAATTATTAAAGAAAACGCTACCCATAAACTTCAACCCCCTCCCCCCGAGTAAATATTGGTCCAAATTGAAAAATTTTTTTACGATAAATTACCACCCAATAGAAGTACAAATTACTCCAGTTTGAGCGAAATTGAGACAAAATTTTTTTTTACTTTGATCACTTCACCCGAGATCCCCCTTATATGAACCCAAATCTAAAACATCTATTATCTATACGCATATAAGTATACATTAAATAAATTCTGGTTCCTCATAAAATACTATTTTTAAATATTTAAAACTCAATTTGTTTTAAATTGGGCACGTAAGCTGATTTTAAAACCTATTGAGAAAAGTTTTTTTATTCATCTTAGAACCATAATCAAAAAGAATTTTTATGTGCCAATTCATTTTTATTTAAACCTCCTTATGGCGCACCGTGTACTATAAAAATTAATGAAAAGAAAACTCACTAGAAGATTAATTTGAGGTGCGCAAACACCTCCAAGTTTTGCGCATGTTGAACTAACGCCAAGTCCAACATTTCGAACAACTGTTGGAAATTGTTCAGTTGTAAAAATATAAATAGCACCATATGAGGCGGTAATTGCTAATTTGGAAAGCATATAAAATGTAATAGCTAACCAGTCCATATCTGAAAAATAATATTTTTTTTTTTTTAATTTATACTCTTCCCTATTTATAATGTGAAAAATTTCATAGAATAAAAAAATTTTGTTACAATTAATTTTGTTAAATTACATTTCTTTGAGACGCATAAATATTCCAAATTTTTTGAAATTTTTAATGTTTCGAAATTAATCAGCTCGAATTTCTAGGTTACCGAATTTTATAAAGTAGAATTTATATGGCTCAAAAATTAATGAAGTGGAACACTAATTTTTTTCACGACGAGATTTTTATGTATTATATCAATAATTTTCTAGTTTTTGCGAATCAAAATATTTCCAAAAGTCGTTTTGCGAATTTTTTCAAAATTTATCGTTTAAACAATTTTTAAGCAAAAAAAGATTAGAAATGATTATTACTGTTCTATTTGATAAATTCGAGCTTATTAATTTCCATGGTTGCCACGGGTCAGGAAAATCAGAGAAGAGTTTGGGAATTTTATGAAAAGTACTGGAAAAATATCAAAATTTCTAAAAATATTACTAAAATTATAATTTCTGAAATTTTCAATTTAAACTTTTGCTTTTAAAAATTATTGTCTTACATTTTTATAATTGTAGGCCTCGGATCGAGTTTTAAAAGAAAAAAAAAGTCATTTTAGACGATTTACATTACAAGAAAAGTCTAAAAAGTCAATTTTTTTTCAATAAATTTAATTAGTTGATAAATATTTTATTATTATTAACATTTTTTTTATTAGAAATTATATAAAATTTATTAATTCCTTAAAAAGAATGTTTCACAGAAATATTTTCAACAATTTTTTTTTTTAAACCATCTAATTAAAGTCAGACAAATTTTCAACATTTCAATTTAGTTTCAGAAGAAATTTTCAAAAATAATTTAAAGTTACATTTAAAAAAAGAAAATTTTTCAAGTCTGATTTATGCATATTATTCGAATTTAGAATTTCGAAAATTGTTTCAAATTGTTAAATTTTCGAAGAATTTGATTAGAATATTATTGAAAAAAAAAATTAATTTTAAATGAAAATTTGTGAAATAATTGAATGTTAGAAGATTTTTAAATAAATTTGAAAAATAATTGAGTTGGAGTTAAAATTTTTTTGGAAGTAATTAAATTTCAGAAGATTTTAAATTGAAACTTTCATAAATTTTAATTGATAAAATTTTTTTACAAACTTTAAAAAATAATAGTGTTTCAGAGTATTTTTAATTAAAAAACGTTTTATTTCTCTAAATTGTTGAAAGCTGTATTAAAGTAATTAAAAAAATTAATTTAGCGAAGAATTTAAAAAAAAAATTTTTAATAATTGAATTATAGAAGAATTTTACAGAATTTTCAATGGAAAAATGTTTCAAAAATTGAATTTTTGATTTTTGAAATTTTCAATTAAAATTGTATTTGAATTATTGAAATTTTCAATTAAAATTTTAATAACTTGAATTATTGAAATTTTTAAAAAATTATATGAACAAACATTTAATTTTACAGAGTTAATAATTAAAAAAACGTTTTATGTAATTGAATTTTTTAAAAACGTAATTAAACTTATTGGAAATAAATAATTCAAAAAGAAATTGAAATTGAAAATACTTATTTTACTAAATTAATCCAAAAATAACAATAATAATGATTTCTATTTTGAAAAAGGAAAAATACGGTAATCCGATATGATTAAGTGGCAAAATAACATATTTTGTAAAATTTATCCAAAAATAACAATTACAAAATTACTTTTCTGAAACAAAAAAAAATAAGTTAATCCGATATAATTATAATTGAAAAAGAAATTGAAGTTAACAAATTTAGAAATAATTGAGTTTTGGAAGAGCAATAGTTAAAATTTTTGAAACTATAATTGAATTTCAGGAGATTTTTAATGAAAATTTTCGTAAATTGGAATTTCTGTAAAATATTTTACAAGATTTAAACAATAATTAAACTTTGGAGAATTTTGAATTGGAAAATGTTTTAAATAATTGAATTTTTGAAAATCTTCATTAAAATTATTAAAATTAAATTATGCAACAGTTTCAATTTTAGATAGAAAATTTAGAAATAATTGTATTTTAAAAGAGTTCGAGTTAAAATTTTTAGAAATATAAATTGAATTTCAGGAGATTATTAATTTAAACTCAGTTTCATTTTGAATTCGTGAAATTTTTTGAAAAACTTTAAAAAAATAATTGAATTTTAGGGAATTTTCAATTGAAAACTGTTTTAAATCATGTAATTTTCGAAGAATTTGTTTTAAAATTGATTTTGTAAACAATTCAAGTTACCATATTTTTTTAATAATTCAATTTTAAAAAATAAAAAAATTCGTGCAATCCGAGACTCATTATTAAAAACCTCTTGAAATATTTGCATTAGGGTCATGGGAAAATATTTTAATTTTTTACTATAAATCAGAAAAAAACAAAATAATATTTTTGTGTCAATTCTGATTTCGAAACCGTAGAAATTCTAATAAATTCACTGTGGGGAATATTCATGCGTCTCTTTTTTCTTGAAACTTAATTTTTTTGAAGTAAAAAAAAAGTTTTTTTTAAATTTATAAAATTATAATTCAAAAAAAAAAAAAAAATACCTTTAGGAACAACAGTCATAAGAAGTAAAAAAAATCCTGAGGTTATCATAGCACCACATAAAATGGCTTTTCTACCCCATCGATTTAAGGTACACATAAGAAAAATATAAGCAGGTACTTCAACAGCCGCTGACATAAAATATGTTGCAAATTCATTATCACTGAGTTTTGCGGCTCCCCACGAAAGACCATAATATGTTCCACTGTTTATCAACCTGTAAATTATTCATTAATTCCTCGTGAACTATTGAAAATAATATCATTTCTATGTAGGAATTATTATTATATAATAAATTATTAGAGAAGCATGAAAAAGTTCTTAAATTCAATTAGAATTTTTATTTCATAAAATTTCATTAAATAGAATTTTATTTTAGCTAAATTTTTATTTCTTCAAATTAGCATCATTTGACAGGAATTTCCTTTTAAACGAATTTTTACTTAACAGAATTTATTTATTTATTATATTATTATTATTATTATTATTATTATTATTATTATTATTATTACCCAACTTTTTATTTAAAAGAATTATAATTGAACCGAATTTTCATTTAGCAAAATTTTTAGTGATTCGAATTTTTCAAACGCCGATTTATAATTTGACTAAAATTGAAAATTATCGAACAAACAACGGACAAAAATGTTTCAACGCTAATTTTGAAATTGACCAATCAAAATTTTTTCAATTTTCATTGTATTCGCAGATAATTTCTGATTAGTTAATTTTTAAATTCCCGCCGAAATCTTCTTGTCCGTTGTTTTTTTTCGGACATTTCCAATTTCGGTCAAACGAAAAGTCGGCGTTTTAAAAATTCAATGAAATATAACAAATTTGTGCAAATAAAAATTTCGAAAAAATGAAGATTCGGTGAATTTAAAAATTCGAATCACGTAAAATTTTGTTAAATTAGAATTCTTTTAAATAAACAAATTTGGTGGAAGCGTAAATTTTGTAAATATTAATTCAATGAAATTTTAGCAAATTAAAAATTTTGACAATGAAATTTTAAAAAGTTATTTCCTCCATCTTAATTATTATACCAACCAATTGAAACACAATAATAAAGTTTTACGTCTCAAATTTGGATATCGTAATAAATCTATAGCAGAAGATTTTTCTACATTCAATTTTGATTCAGTTTCTTTTTCCGATAAAAGTGTTTCCAATGTTTCATTGGAAATATCGACTCCATTAATTTTTGCTGCCTTTTGCAATAAGATTTTTGCTTCTTCTTTTCGGCCTTTGGTCAATAACCATCGACACGATTCAGGAATAAACCTTAAAAATTATTAAAATTAAAAAAAAACCCTATTTTGGTTTTTAAATTAATCAATTGAAACTCGAAATATTTGTTTTGACTGCTAAAAAAATGTTAACACTACAAAAAATGAAGAAAAAAATTTGCAAATTTAAATTATTGAATTTTTGAAAATTGTCACTTACCAATAATATGATAAAAACAATACACTTGGAAGGACAAGAGCCAGTTGTAATGTCCTCCAATCGCGAATTAAGTAGGCAAAAATACCAGTCGTAAAATATCCTACTGTGAAAAATAAATTCACTCCTACACCAGCGAACATTCTTTTCTTTGGTCCAACCATTTCAAGAGCTAAAAAAAAATTTTTTAATTTATTTTCAAGAATTTTTTTTCTTCTATTTTTGTTTTCTAAAATTCGAAACTTAAAAAAAATTGAAATTACAAACATTTCAAATTCCAGCATAACTGTAAATTTTTTTAATTTTGCCCCAAAAAAATATTTTGGTTTTTTTCATCTTAAAAACATGTCTACGATATTTAAAAATAATAATAAAATTAAATTTTTAATAATAATAAAAATTAAAAATACTATTAATCATTTTACTGTAAATTTTGTTTACTATTTAAAATTTAATAAAATTATATAATAATAAAATGCTTGGTCTGTCCTTCTATCCTAACTTGAAGTTGGCCTTTTCAGATTTCACGTGTTTTTTTTAATAGTAATCTTATGACGTGTCAAATTTTGACAATTCTTTTTCTCATTTTTGCCAAAGTTGTATAATTGTGTTTCCAAATTTCGGAATAAGTTTCTTTAAAATTCCAAATTCGAAAATTCAATTCACGAAGCTGAAGTACACAACGTTTACCAACGAAATTTTTTTTAAAGTTGTATATTCATTCAAAAATTGTATACAAATACAAAAAATTTATGATGAGAAAAAAGATGCGCCAGGAAATTTCGTACAAGATAGTAATTTGAAAAAAATTTATTTTTCAAAATTAATTTTTAAGGTACCAGGGGCCAACGAATACCTATTAAATATTAATTATAAAAACACAGGCCTCGAATCAACTTAAAGACACAAAAAAGTCGTTTTAGTCGATTTATATTCCAAAAAAAAGTGGATTTGTTTTTTATTTTAACAAAAATATTTTACAGATTTTTAAATAAAAAATTTTTTTTTTAATAATAATCCTTTTCGAAGGGTTAAAGTTGAAATTTTTAGAAATAATTAAATTTCAAAAGATATTGTTAATTTTCAAACAATTATTAAATTTTACAGAACTAAAAATAATTTATCAAACAATTTTTGGAAAACATTTTTTAAATTTAATTGAATTTTCAAAGATTTAAAATTGAGATTTTTGAAATTAATTGAAACTTTAAGTGTTTTGTAATTAAAATTTTAGATGATTTCACTAACAATTTATTAGAAAATGCGGACAAAATACAATAATTTGAAAATCATTTTTAATTGAAAAATGGTTTCAGATAGTTGAAATTTCAAAGAATATTATTAATATAGTTAAAAATAATTGAATTTCCTTTAGAGTTATAATTGAAATTATAAAAATTTCAAAAAAAAAAATTTTCGATGGAAAATTTTAGAAATAATTAAATTTTAGATGCTTTTAAATTCAAATTATTGAAAATTCAATTAATTTTGAATTCAAATTTTTGAGAATAATTAAATTTTATTTGATTTTAAATTGAAAATTTTTGGGAAATAATTGAATTTTAATTAAAATTTTGAAAATAATTGAATATTAGTTGATTTTAAAACCACAATTTTAAGAAAATAATTGAATTTTAGTTTATTTTGAATTGAATACTTGGAAAATAATTGAATTTTAGTTGATTTTGAATTGAAATTTATAAAACTAATTGAATTAAAATTGAAAATTTTTAAATAATTGAATTTTAGTTGATTTAGGATTGAAAATTTTGAAAATAATTAAATTTCAGTTGAAATTTGGAAAATAATTGAATCGTGGTTTTATTGTGAATTGAAATTTTTGAAAATAATTTAATTTTAGTTGACTTTGAATTGAAAATTTTGAAAATAATTGAATTTTAGTTTATTTTGAATTGAAAATTTTGGGAAATAATTGAATTTTAATTGAAATTTTGGACAATAATTTAATTGAAGTTCATTTTTGATTGAAAATTTGGATAATTAATTTTGAAAAGAAATTTTAGAAAATAATTGAATTTCAGTTCATTTTAAATTGAAAATTTTGGATAATTATTGGATTTTTAATTGATTTTGAATTAAAATTTCGGGTAATAATTGAATGTTAGTTTATTTTGAATTGAAATTTATGAAACTAATTAAATTGAAATTGAAAATTTTTAAAACAATTGAATTGTAGTTGATTTAGGTTTGAAAATTTTGAAAATAATTACATTTCAGTTGAAATTTGGAAAATAATTGAATTGTAGTTTATTGTGAATTGAAATTTTTGAAAATAATTGAATTTTAGTTGATTTTGAATTGAAAATTTTGAAAGTAATTGAATGTTAGTTTATTTTGAATTGAAAATTTTGAAAATAATTGATTTTTAATTGACATTTTGGAAAATAATTGATTTTCAATTGACATTTTGGAAAATAATTGAATTTTTGTTCATTTTAAACTGAAATTTTTGGGAAATAATTGAGTTTTAATTGAAATTTTAGATAACAATTTAATTTAAGTTAATTTTGATTGAAAATTTGGTAAATTAATTTTGAATAGAAATTTTAGAAAATTATTGAATTTTATTTCATTTTAAATTGGAAACTTGGTAAATAATTAAATTTTAAATTGAAAATTTTTGATAATTATTAAAGTTTAATTGATTTTGAATTAAAATTTTTAAAAAATAATTCAATTTTATTCTGATATTTTTTTTTTAAATTTTAAACATTTGTTAAATTTCATAAAAATTTTAATTGAAAAATAATTTTGATATAATTGAATTTGTGATGTATTTCATTAAAATTATTAAAAATAATTAATTTAGTGAAGAATCATTTTAGTTTAAAATTTGTTAAATAATTGAATTGAAAAAGATCTGAAGAAGATCTACATTTTATACTAAAAAAATGTATTTCATTTGCATTTTTTTTCAAATGTAAAAAAAAATGTCGCATTTTATTAAAATAAGTCGATAAAAGTGGTATTTTTGAAAAAAGTCGGAAAATGTCGTATAATCCGAGGCCTGTAAACATATAATTTTCATTATTATCATTTAATATGTAATAATATTCTAATAAATTAAATTATTATTGATAATATTAATCTTTAATTTCTTTATAACAAACAACGAAATACTCAATTTGGCGCGCTTGCGCGCGTTTAATTTTGCTGGTAGTAAATAAAATTATAAAATATTAAAAAATAGTTGTGTATTAAAATTACCTAATATTGAAATTTAAAAAAAATTGAACTATAGTAAAAAAAAATTTTTTTTAACCCTTAACTGGCACAGTTCCACATTCGAACGTAAATAGCACAACGGGTCTGCTGGACCCAACGTATTCAAACGTGTATTGTACAGCCGGTATTGAATATTTTTGCACAAAAATTTAATCTGAGGTAGCTTATCATGTGTTTTTTAAAATTTCATTAGTTTTACAGGGATTAATTTACTTTCAGTTAGTTGAAAAAAATTGTAAAAAATAAAAAACAAAAAATTGCGTGTTTTTACTTAAAAATTCATGAGTTATTTAAAATTTTAATATTATGACTTAAAAATTTAAGGTTATACCATTATTCTTTAAGGAAAAATTTACCACAACAGCAGGACTTGCAAAAAAAAGTATTTATTTTGTAGAATAAAATGTGAATTTTTAGATTAAAATTAAAAATTTATAATTTATTAATGTTTGAAGCTAATTTATTCTTTTTTATCGAATTAGTTGTATCAAAAAACTTAGAAAATTACTAATATGTGAAACTAATATATTAAAATATAAAAAAATATTCAAATTCAATTAATTTAAGCGAGAAAAAATGCTCGGGTCTACTGGACCCATGGTGCAAGTTAAGGGTTAAATAAAAAGTAAATTTTTTTTTTTTTTTATAAAATTCATGATAATTACCAATCACATAAGTAACGATAAAAACGCCACTGGCTGTTGAACCAAGAATTGCTCTAAAAACAACAAATGTGGCATAATTTGGAGCTAAACCAACTATGGTTCCTGAGATTAATTGAATAATTAAACAAATTACAAAAATTGGTTTACGTCCAAATTTATCAGACAAGAAACCAAATGTCATAGAGCCAATCATTACTCCTACCATGAAGATCGAGTCTCCCGTTGATATCCACCATGAATAATCGCACACCATGTCCCACTAAAAGTAAATTATTTTTTTTTTTTTTTAAACAATTTTTATATAGAAAAATTTGTAATTTTTTAAAAAAATTTAATTACTAATTAATCAAATTCAAATAATAGAAGAAAAAAATTATTTAAAAATTTTCTCCGGACAAAAATTCTTGGGAAAATTTTTTTCAAAATTAAAAAAATGTTTCTTTAGTGGTGTAAAAATTTATAAATTCTCTTCTATTCTAAAAATTTAGTTTTTGAATTTTAATTTTTAATTTTTACATCGTATGTTAAAAATTTCAATCTAAAATATCTAATTTTTTAGAATTTGCAAAAAAAGTTTAAAATTTTTTTACCACATTTAAAGCATGCATGAAAAAGAATATTTTGAAAATTAAAAGAAAGAATTTTTTAAAAATTGTTAATAGAATTTTTTTTTTTTTAAATAATAGAAAAAATTTTAAATATATTTAAAAAAAAAAATTATTTTTTAGTCCATGTTAATTTTCAATTGTAACATATATATTTGTTATCTTTATTATATTCTCTGACATATATCAGTGGCTCACATCGATAAGTAAAATTGCATTTTTCTATTATCTTTTTGACCTAGATATTTTAGTTAATTGCATAAAAATTAATAAGAATGTTACAATAATCAGTAATTAAGGACAAATTGCGATTTATTATCTATAATATAAATATTTACGTTTACGTTGATGACTGAGTATTGATAATATTTCCAAATTATCAAGTAAAGATAGAGGTAAATAATCAATAAGAAAAAAAAATTTATTCAAGTTATTAAACAAAAAAAAAAATTTAATTAAATATCCAATTTTTCTTTTAAATTAAAATGTAAAAACTTTTAATTGCAACTCTTCTAAAATTGAATTATTTCTATATAATTATATATTAATCGAACCCAATCTTTAACTGAAAATCTAAAAATTTTTTCATTTTCAGAAATTTCATTCAACTTTTTTTTTGATAATTTTAATTTATTTAAATAATTTTCAAATTAAAAACATTTCTGCTTTAACGCATATTAATTTTAATTTACAATTTTTCTTCCTTTTTTTATTTTAACCGTTTAACTTATTTTTTAATAGTAAAATTTCAAATTTAATTAATTTTCAAATAAACAACATTTTAGAATATTTTAATAATTTAATTTTTGTTGAATAATTCATTTTTAAGGTTTTAATATATTTTAAGATTTACAAGGTAAAAAATAAATTTAAGAAAATTGAAAAAATTTTCCCGACTTTCAAGAATCGAATCAAAACTCTGAGATTTTGTATAGGTATATATAAAATTTTTAAAATTAAAACCAATTTGAAAAACAATTATGAAAAATATAATTAGATATATATTATATATACATACCTTAAAAATACATACCAGATAGATAAAGAAAAAATAAAAATTTGAAACTGACGATTAACGCCAATGACTTATTAAAATACATTAAAAATATGTTACCTTAGTTGCGACTGTACTTGAATATCGGCTTTTGTCATAAATATAATTTTGACAAGCTGTTTCTTTCTTTTTTGATGTATTATTAGCGGCAAATAAATAATATTCATTTAAAGTCGTCACATTTGGCGGTACTGGTATATCATAAAAATGACATTGAGAGGGTCTTTCCTTTTTTGTATTTGTTGCTAAATGTTTTGGAAGAAGCACATCAACATACCCATCAGGCAATTGATACGCTGTATTTGATGAATTTTCTAATGGCAGAAGACATCTAAAATTTTAACATCAAAAAAAAAAAATTTTTTAATTATTTTAAATTTTTGTGATTGTTTATATTTCACATATAAATATTCACCGCAGATTTTCTCGTAAAATATTTTATTGACAAAATATTTTTTTTTCCCTGATTTATAGTAAAAATTAAAATATTTTCCCATGACCCTAATGAAAATATTTCAAGAGGTTTTCAATAACGAGTCTTGGATTGGACGAATTTTTTTATTTTTTAAAATTAAATTATTAAAAAAATATGATAACTTGAATTGTTTGCAAAATCAATTTTAAAACAAATTCTTCGAAAATTACATGATCTAAAACAGTTTTCAAATATTGAAAATTTCCCTAAAATTCAATTATTTTTTAAAAGTTTTTTTTTTAAAATTTCACGAATTCAAAATGAAAGTGAGTTTAAATTAATAATCTCCTGAAATTCAATTTATATTTCTAAAAATTTTAACTCGAACTCTTTTAAAATACAATTATTTCTAAATTTTCTATCTAAAATTGAAACTGTTGAATAATTTAATTTTAATAATTTTAATAATTTTAATGAAGATTTGCGAAAATTCAATTATTTAAAACATTTTCCAATTCAAAATTCTCGAAAGTTTAATTATTGTTTAAATCTTATAAAATATTTTACAGAAATTCCAATTTACGAAAATTTTCATTAAAAATCTCCTGAAATTCCAAATTTTTATTTATATAATTCTTTGTTTAATTAATTATTTTAATAGTTTTAATACAATTTTTAAAAAATTCAATTATTCAAATAGTTTTTGAATTAATTTTTATATTTACAACAAAATTCAAATTTTTAAAATCTGAAAAAATGCAATTATTTCTAAAAATCTTAATCTTATAACTCCAACAAAATTAAATTATTTAGAATATATTTCAGTTGAAAATTCTCTAAAATTCAATTATTGTCTGAAATTTGTAAAAAAAAATTTATTAAATCAAATTTATAAAAGATTTAATTAAAAATCTCCTGAAATTCAATTATTTCTAAAAATTTTAATTAAAAATCTTCTGAAATTCAATTAATTCACAAATGTTTATTTAAAATTATTTTTTTTAATAAATTATTTTTTCGATTTTTGAAAGGCATATAAAAAATAATTTATTAAATAATTGTGGTAGAATTTATTAAATATTGAACTAATTTTTTTTTCAATCATATTTTAATGAAATTCTTCGAAAATTTAATGATTTAAAACATTTTCCGAAATTTTGAATTGAAATAATGTGTATAAATCAGTCTTGAAAAATTTTCTTTTTTTTTTTTTTAATGTAACTGGAAATTATTTTTGAAAATTTCTTCTCAAACTGAATTGAAATCTTGAAAATTTATCTCAGTTTAATTCGGTGGTTTAAAAAGAAAAATTCTTGAAAATATTTCTATGAAACATTCTATATTAAGGAATTAATAAATTTTATCTAATTTCTAATAAAAAATTGTTAATAATAATAATTTTTCGAGAAAAACTGCGGAGAATATTTACATGTGAAATAACATAACCTTAGGAATATTAGTTTTAAATAAGAAAAAAGAATAATTAGTTTTGTTTTTAAAAGTGATTTTTTAGAATTGCTTTGCAACGACCACAATTTTTAAAAAAACGACTTCACCAATCGGTTTAAAATTTACAGAGATTATTCCTTATATAAATAACTAGTTCGTGAACAAAGGACTTTTTATTTGAATAAAAACTTTGAATTCTATTACTGAAATACGAAAATTTGTTAATTTCGCAAAAAATTTATTTTTCAATTAAACTCCTGAGATTTTATTGAAAATTTAAAATTCTTCATCCAAGAATTAGTTATTTATATGTGGAATAAGGCCTGTAAATTTAAAACCGATCGGTAAAATTATTTTTGCAAATTCTGATCAAAGCAAAGCAATTACAAGAAAATTACTTTTTTTTCAAAAAGCTAGTAGCTGTAAAATATTTTAAAATATTTTTTTTATTATAAAATTCGTTTAAATCACTTAAATGTATAGTAATTTTGAATAAAATATTTATTTTAAAAAAAATATATATATTAAAATAAAAAAAAAAATATTTTTTTCCCTTCTAACTAGGGAAAAAAGTTTTAAAAACTATTTTTTATTTCTAACCCGTTAGTTAATAAATTAATATATCAATTAATTTACCTGAAGTCTGGAGTTGTTTCGAGAAAAACACCAGCCATTTTGTGAATAGCGCAAAAAATTGCAGGAATGCATAATATAAAATATGTTTTCCGCTGGTAGCGACCAAATTCGCCCATTAAAATAATGACATCATCGTAAGCCATTTTTGAATGTTTATTTTTAAATATTTTCTCTTTCTCTCTCTATATATATATATATACTTTTCTTTTAGAAATATTTTCTTAGATTTTTTTTTCTATTTGACTAGATAAATCAAAATATTCCATGAAGGAGAAATTTTTTATCGATTTAAATTAATTTCTTTTTCCCAAAAAATTTTTTATTCTCTTGCAGAGCTGATTTTTGTTGATCGATTCACTTTTGTGTCCTACAAATGTTTTAATTTACAAAATTAGTGATTTATATTAAAAATAAAATAAAATAATCTAAAATCCAATTTCAACAAAAAAATAAAATTGATAAATTTAAAAAAAAAATTGTATAAATATTCAAAAAGTCAAAAAAAATCTTTAAAAATCTGAAATTTTGAAAAAACAAAAAATTATGAAACTTTTTTTTCGTAAAGAAAGATAAAAAAAAAATTTCGCTAAAAATATTATTATTGATAATAAGAGTAATTAATTTGGTTAAATTAAAATTAGAAAAAAAATAGTTTTCTCAAAAAGATTTAAAAAAAAAAATTTTATTTGATTAACCCAGATTATCTCACACATTTATGTCACTTTAATAAATATCTTAATCAAAAGATTAGACATTTTTTGTTGTCAGCTCATTTAATTTACTTATCACCTTTAATAATAATAATAATAATTATATGTCTAGTCTTTTTTTAAGCTTTATGTTTATTTATTATTTTTTTTTAATGATTAAAAATGATTTTATCTGACAAAAAAATAAATTTTTTTTTATTAAAAATTTAAAAATCACAAAATGCAATAAATTTTTTTTTTTTTTTAATATGTAGAAGAGTTAAAGGTGAAAGAAATTAAGAGTCTTCTGATCAGATGATATATTGAATTTGAATCAAGAATCGCCTTGTAAATTGAAACTGATTGTATATTTTACTGTCGTTTGAGACTTTCAATGATATTTAAAGCAATAGTTCAACCTTGTTGGGAATGCGTTCGTTTTTTAAATCGAAATTACAAATGTTTTAATAATAAAAATTCTGTTGTGAATTGTAGATTTGAAAAAAAAATTCTCTATTTTTAGAAATTTTTATTTATAAGTTTATAATCATTCTAAATAAAATAATTTTTTTTAATTATATTTAATTTCTTGTTTAAAAAAATTTGCAATACAGTCAAAAAAAAAAGAATACTTTAAAATATTAAATTAAAATTTTCTCTTTAAATAATATAAAAATTTATTAATTTTCTATTATTTTCTTGGGGCCTGTAAATTTTGAGATTGACTATAATAATTTTATTTTCTATGAAAATAATGATGAATTTTTAATTTTTTAAATTATTTTTTGTATATATTATTTTTACACGCTGAAAAATGGAAAATTATTTTTATAAAAAAAATATATTACAATAAAAATACCACTTATTTCTATGTGAAAAATTTAGGAGAAAGACAAATTAAAGATTATAATTTTACTTCCACTCACTTTATTGCACCTTAGCAGAGTAAAAAAACAATTCTTTTTTTTTCTTGTAACCACACTTTAAACACAATGTAAAAAATAAAAATTTTATTAGCAATTAAAAAAACGTGATTATTCACATTTTTTACTATTTTATTTTTTAAAAATTTACCACTAAATATATTCAAAAGAAAAATCACAATTATTATTTTTTCCGCATTCTAATTTAATTATTCTCTTTCATTGTCTGAAGAAAAATATTAATTACTTATTTGAAAATAAAAAAAAAAAACACGTGAGCGTATCAACTTTTGAAATTCAATTTTTTTTTTTTTAATATTAACGAGAAAGGAAGAGGAGATGCAACTCTATATGCAATTCCTTTCAGCGAGAAGACGATTTGAAACCATTTGATAAAAAATTTTCTGCGATTGATGTCTTTACAGTGATGTACTAAATGTTCCCCACTTTACACTATTGATCATGTGCCCTCAGAGAGAAAAGACTTTCAATTAAAATTAAAATTTAATCTACATTGTATATTATTTTCTTTTTAAATTAAGAATTCAATCATTTTTTTTCTATAAAACTAGATTTTTTTATAATTTAAAAAAAATTTCGGTAAAAACTTTGATTTTTTTTTTTAAAAGAATTTTTTTATTTAAAATAACATTTTTATGTAACAGAATTTTATTTTTACAGAATTTCCCTTTGCATGCAATTTTTTTTTTAAATTCTAATACGAATTACAATTTAGCAAAATTTGTAATAATTCGAATTTTTAAACGCCAGAATTTGAAATTCACTGTATCTTCATTTATCCGAATTTTTATTTCACCAAAATTTCAAATATCCAAACAAATAAACGGATTTGGGCGCGAATTTTAAAATTAACCAATCGGAAATTATCAAAAAAAATTGTAATTGATCAATTTTAAAATTCGCGCCAAATCTTTCTGTTGATTGTTTCTTCGGTCATTTCCAATTTCGGACAAATGAAAATTCGGTGAATTTGAAATTATAACAATTTAAAAATTCGAATCACTTAAAATTTTTTAAAACATTTTTGAATTGAAAGTTCTCTAAAATTCTCTATAATTCAATTATTTCTAAATATTTTATTTAAAATTCTTCATTAAATTGATTTTTTTAATTACTTTAATAAAAATATTTCAACAATTCAGGGAAATAAAAAGTTTTTTAATTGAAAATCTTCTGAAATTTAATTACTTCGAAAAACAAATTTATCTCGAACTCTTCAAAATTCAATTAGTAATTGAATGTTAATTCAATTTAAAATTTTTTTCCCAAATTTTTATCTATATAATTTTTTGTTTAATTAATTATTTTAATAGTTTTAATCCAATTTTTCAAAAATTCAATTATTTAAATCGTTTTTGAATTAATGTTTATATTTACAACAAAATTCTAATTTTTAAAATCTCAAAAAATGCAATTATTTCTAAAAATCTTAATCTTATAACTCCAACAAAATTAAATTATTTAGAATATATTTCAGTTGAAAATTCTCTAAAATTCAATTATTGTCTGAAATTTGTAAAAAAAAAATTTCATTAAATCAAATTTATAAAAATTTCAATTAAAAATCTGAAATTCAATTATTTCTAAAAATTTTGATTAAAAATCTTCTGAAATTCAATTAATTCACAAATGTTTTTTTAAAATTTAAATTTTTTTTTCAATAAATTATTTTTTCGATTTTTGGAAGGCATATAAAAAATAATTTATTAAATAATTGTGGAAGAATTTATTAAATATTTAACTAATTTTTTTTTCAATAATATTTTTCAACATTTTCCGAAATTTTGAATTGGAATAATGTGTATAAATCAGTCTTGAAAAATTTTCTTTTTTTTTTTCAAAATGTAACTTGAAATTATTTTTGAAAATTTCTTCTCAAACTGAATTGAAATCTTGAAAATTTATCTCAGTTTAATCCAGTGGTTTAAAAAGAAAAATTCTTGAAAATATTTCTGTTAAACATTCTTTATTAAGGAATTAATAAATTTTATCTAATTTCTAATAAAAAATTGTTAATAATAATAATTTTCTTTTAAAAATAATTTTTTTATTTAATAACATTTTTATGTAACAGAATTTTAATTTTACAGAATTTCCTTTTGCCTGCAATTTTTTTTTTTTAATTCTAATTTAAATTGCGAATTATAATTTAGCAGAATTTATAATAATTCGAATTTTTAAACGCCAGAATTTGAAATTCACTGTATCTTCATTTATCCGAATTTTATTTTCATCAAAATTTCAAACAAAAAAACGGACAGAAATATTTTGGCGCTAATTTTAAAATTAACCAATTGGAAATTATCAAAAAAAAATTGTGGTTCGTCAATTTTAAAATTCGCGCCAAATCTTTCTGTTGATTGTTTCTTCGGTCATTTCCAATTTCGGACAAATGAAAATTCGGTGAATTTGAAATTTCTAACAATTTAAAAATTCGAATCACTTAAAATTCTGTTGAATAATTTATTTATTTATTTCAATATTTTACGGACAAGTAAAATTGCCCTTAACAAAAAAACCTTTAAAAACTAACCTTAAAAACTAACAAACAATGAGAATTTTGATAAATTAAAATTTAGATAAATTAGAATTTTTTTAAAATAAAATATTAGGCAAAGAGAAAATCTGTAAAATGAAAAGAAATAAAAATAAAAATAATAAAAAAAAAAAAAATTAAAATTAAAAATATATAAAAATTTTCTAATTTTTGAATGATACGAAATTTTCGAATTTAAATTAGGATAGTACAAAAAATGTTTCAATTTATTGATCACAGTGAAATTTTGTTATGTAAAATAAATTTTAATTATTTACAAACAAAATTTTGTTTCTAGTAAAGACGGAAATTAGTTTTTTTGAAAAATCGACATTTTATTTTTTTAAAATCATTAAAAATGATTTTTTTAATATCAAATTAAAAAAATATAAACAACTGTTTGAAAAAATATTTTTATAATTTTCTATAAATTTATAATTTACAATATTCTATAAATTAAAATTTTTAATTGCAATTACTTCTAATGAAAATAAAAACAAGAAGAATAAAAACCTCTGTACAATAAATAAATAAAGATGGTTGTCATTTATATTGAGAAATATCGAAACATGAGGTAGGCAATTAAAAATACATTTTTTAATACATCGCCTGATTCTTATATGATTACTATTAATTGCCGAGATACAAATAATAAAATAATTTATTGTGTAATGTATACTGTATATAAAATAAGTAAAAGAAATGTACAAAATTAATTTTATTCACATATCTCTGAAACTTTTAACTTTTCAATGAAAACAAAAAAAAAAAAAAAATTCCGAGTAAAATTGTATGAAGATTAAATTTGAAATTAAATTAAATGAAATTAAATGAAATTAAATTTTTCTTTTGTAATAAAAAATTTATCGAAATTAACAAAATTAAATTAAATTTTTTTTGTAATAAATAATTTATTGAAATTAACAAAATTAAATTAAATTTTGTTTGTAATAAAAAATTTATAGAAATTAACAAAATTAAATTAAATTTTTTTTGTAATAAAAAATTTATCGAAATTAACAAAATTAAATTAATTTTTTTTTTGTAATAAAAAATTTATTGAAATTAACAAAATATATATATCAGAGGGAAATATAAATTAAAGGTTCTATGAGATAAATAAAAAGTAAAAATAAGTTTAAATAAATTTTTACACCTAAGAAAAAAAGATATAGAAAAATAAAAACAAATAATTGGAAAAATTTTTTTTTCTTGAATTTGAGATTAAAAATTTTAAAATTGTTTTTTGTCTAAAAAAAATTACTGTACTTTTTAAATAGAAGCCGAAAAAATGATAATTTTTAATTTAATTTTCAAAAAAAATTACAAAATTTTTTTTTTTTACAAGTTTGCATAAGAGAAATAAACAACCGTATAAAATGAGCAAAAATTTATATATCCCGTTATCAAATCAACTTGCGCGATTATGATCGGCGATTGACAGTAAATTGGTATTTATTAACATAACCAATAAGTGTACTGACTATAAATTGAAATAATTTTAATATATACATCAAGAAGCTTCATACCTAATGTCAAGTTAAAGAAAAAAAAATTTTTTTTTTTTACATTTAATTTCTAAATTTATTTTTTTAACAATTAAACTGAATTAAAACATAAAATCACTTCCCTTTATACAATGTATTTTAAAATAAAAATTGTCTCTTTATCTTTAAATCAGAATAAAATTTCACACGCTTCATGAAATCAAATTAATTTTACGTAATTATAATTTTATGTCACACTCATCTTGACATTTTAAAATGCATATGTAAACTTTTTTTTCATTTCTGTCATTTAAATTTTTTTTTATAAACGAAAAACTTTATAAATAATATTTATCCACATTTTCAATAAACAAAATATATAATATTAAATGAATTCTTAATGATTCATTAGAAAATTTTTAATTAGTTAATTAATTAAAGTAATATGGTAATAAATCAAATATATTTTATGTACATACTTTATCACTTTTAAAATGTCGTTGTTTTCATAAATCGAGTAAAATATTAAACTGATCTTAAAATATTACACTTTGGAATTTGATTGATTGAAATAATTCTTGATACACATCTTTAGTAATTTTCTATAAATTCATTATTTATCAAATACTTTGAAATAATGGAATTTAAAAATTATTATTATTATTATTATTATTATTATTATTATTATTATAATTATCTATAATAATTATTATTGTTGTTATCTATTATTATTATTGTCATTATTATGTAATATTTTTTTCTTTTGTAAGCCCGTATACATTGTTAAATAAATAAATTATTATTATTTATTTACTTATTTATTATTATTATTATTATTATTATTATTATTAGTATTATTGTTTAAAAAAAATGAATATAAATAAAAAAAAAGTAATTAAATAGTTAATAAAATTACAATGCAAATATACAGTATAAAAAAAGAAAAAAATTTGCCTCTGTTTAAAATATTTTTAAAAAATTGTCAAAATATACAGAAAAACTTCTCTTGTTTTTTTTTTTTTAATTTTATTACCGTCATACGCTTTTATTTTTATTTTATTACAGTAAATTTTGAATTTATTATTATTCGACCATCTAATTTTTTATTTCCTTTATTGAATTTTTAAAACTTTACTAAAAAAAAAAAAAATATCCAAAAAGTACAAATAATTTCTTTCATTATTTTTTTTAATAAATAAAAAATAAATAAAATAAAATAAAATAAAAAATGTTTAATAAAATAATT